GTTAAAGATTGTGCTAAAGTTTCAACGTTTGTAAAAATGTTGTGTCAATTTCTTCCATCATAGCGGTTCTTCAGTTTATCCCAAATATATTGATTTGCTACAAGACTGATTGATTGGTTGTTAAATTTATAGCCCACACAACTCTAGATGATTCTAGGTAGCAAACTGTACATTTCCAGCAGGAAGAATTCTCAGTTGGACCACAATATTCAAATATTTGCATGTCATCCACACTCAAAAATCAATGAAAATTGCAGAATATATAGTTCAACTCAAAATTCATGCCCTTGCATTCTCACTGAATCATACTTGGGTCATAAAAAAGACCATAAAATGCCACACTTACTTCTTTCCAATTGAGAGAGATATTGTGTTTGGTATTAACTTGTTCAGAATGTTTAGCACAAATATTGATTAAGAGGACTTTGCTGTAAAATATTAAAGAAAATAGGTTCTATAAATATTATCTCTATAAAATAGTTGCCACCCTGATAGTAATAAAATGAAGCAAGTCTGGGAAATATACAAGCTGTAAAGAAATATAATCAAATACATGTTTTAGATGTAACATTATTCTAATAAATAAAACAGATTCAAAGTTTCATATTTTTCTTACGAAGCCCCACTGACCTCAGCAGAATTTCATTTTCAGAACCAACTGCACAAATTTAAAGAAACTGGTTGAAATACTGAGACTTACTCATCATCCAACTCAATTTTTATGTCCATGTCACCAACAAATACACACAGGACTCTGCAAAACAGAATATTTCAAGATCTGTTATATGTGTGTGTGTGTGTGATTATTTATTTATATCTACTGTTATTTTTTATAAATAGCTCAAGATGGTAAATTTACCAAATACATCTTTCTTTTTCTGGCAATAACAACCATAGGAGGTATATTGGGCTAGAGAGACTGACTGGCCTAAGGTGTGACTAGAATAGCCTGGTGCCTTAACCAGTGGAAAACACTTTGTGATAAATAGCTTAGTCTAGGTAAGGTAATCTGATAATGGACTACATTAAAAAACTGGCATAGCTGACAGTCCAACAAAATTAACCATGTATAGCCAGCTACCATTATAATTGCAGTATAAATAACAAACCCTGAACATTCAGTGAAGGAACTGCTAATCTAAACCTAAATTAAAGAGCTCTTTTATAAATATGTAGGTATAATTCTGACAAATGCTAGCTACAAAAAACAATTTAAGGATTATAGCATCTATGGCAAAAGTTTCCTAGTCTATAAATTAATATTATGCATCATGAGCCTCGATGGAGCAGTGGTTAGAGTGCAGTACTGCAGACTACGTCTGCTAACTGCCAGCTGACTGCAATTTGGCAGATCGAATCTCACCAGGCTCAAGGTTGACTCAGCCTTCCATCCTTCCGAGGTCAGTAAAATGAGGACCCAGATTGGTGGGGGCAATATGCTGACTACACACTTAAGAGAGGGCTGAAAAGCACTGTAAAGCGGCATATAAGTCTAAGTGCTATTTCTATTATAAACAATGGACATGCAGTCTAATTTATTTCTATAAAAGTAATGCATTCTGTATTCATTCAGTAGCAGCAAACCTCTGCTTTTTACCATATCCCATCCATCCCCTAGATGTACTTTTTTAGTCCCTTTCTATCTCCACAACTATGTAGTGCTTTGCATCTTTGTTATATACATTCACGGTATTCTTAAAATGGATCAAGTTTTTGCAGTACACAGTGCAATTCTGAATAAACTACCCAGAAATAAACCCCACTGTGTTAAATGGAATTTATTCATATAGAAATGAGTACTGTTCACTTTGTATATGGAGTACATATGTATTCAAAATAGTCCAGGTTAGAACAGATTCATTGCTTTTCAAAATCTGTCAAGAATTTTCCCACGTCCCTAAATAGTAGGCAATGTTAAGAAGAACTGAAAGCATTAGCAAAAAAAGGCACAATATATAAAGTTGTGCACACTTTGAAAAGGCGTTGATAAAAAAGAATATTTATAGCTCTGCCGGGTCCTTGATACTCTCCGACTTTGGTGGTTTTCTTACACATGTTTCACTGCCAAACCAGCTAACATCTATTTGGCAATGAAAAGTCTGCAAGAAAACCACTAAGTTCAGAGAACACCAAGGACCCCATTGAAAAAAATGTGCTTAGTTTGCAGAGGATGGCTAATTAAAGTTAGTGTGATTCCTAAAAACATTCATATTTCTTTTCAGCATCAGGCAGATGGTTAAAAAAAAATCAACTATTTCAACGAATAGTAGAGAAGTGTTGCCTTTATGTGACATTCAAAGCACCTATGTCTTTGAATCATTTTTTGAATAATAGTTACGTTTAAATACACAACTGTGCCCTTTAAATACACAACTGTGCAAGAAAGTATTAGGCACAACATTCTTATACTGTTGTGGTTCACCGGCAGCAGTTGCAGACAGCTCAGGTCTCGGAGAGCGAGGACTCAGATGAGGGGCCTGTGTGTGATGCAGGGATGGGGCCAGAACCATCAGGGAGTGGAGTGCTGCCTTCGGAGATTGTGGAGGCTGGCAGCACTGATGCAGAGAACCCCGAGGAGCCTGTGCCCAGTGCATGTGCACGCAGGGCTGCTCGTAGGAAAGAGCAGCTGCAGCAGCATGAGTAAGACTGCAAGGTAATGGCCCCTCCCTTAAGAGATAAAAGCCAGCTGAGAAACCAGAGTTCTTTGCAGGAAGCAAAGAAGTTTTTGCATTTCAAGCCTTGTAGAAGTTTGGACTATCTTGGTTTGTGTTGGAAGACTTTTTGTTTGGAACATTTCTTGGCAACTTAATCTAGTGCTTTTGGCAGCCTTGCACAACCTTGGCAAGGCTTGTTATTATCAGATACAATTAGTTTTAATAGCCTTTTAACCGTGAATTAACGGAATTCGCAGAGAAACATTAAGAGGTTTTGCTTTTATCTCTCTTTGGTGTTTGTTGACTTGGAACAAGGTTTGGGTCAGAACATATACCTACTTTTGTACCTTCAGGTTTCTACAATGTGCTAGTGCAATGGCAGAAGAAAGTGAAGGCGTAGATGAAATTGCAAGCCCATTGATCACCTAAATAACATGATAATAATTAAAATGTTACTATTTTATTTAATATTGCTTACAGTCAAGATTATATAGCTATATTTCCTTATATGTATACATTCATTGCATATGCATGTCTAGATTGGTATAGTTATAAGAACAAATAAAGTCTCTGCAAATATTGTAAAACTTATATCGAAACCAAATATTTGAACATTTAAAAGCATATATGTTAACAAGTCTGGATAATGTTCCTATTCTGCCACAAAAGGAATAACTTGACCATTATTACATCTAGAGAAGGATTTGAAGGGCTACCAGCAAACACCAGTGTCTGATGACATATTTTCCCTTAATTAAAGTGTCAGTTAAATCTTAGTAATGCACCAAATAGGAATGTATAGCCTATTTACAGGATTTGTTCATGTTCTGATTTCAATCAACCAATATTAAGAAAATATTTTGATATGGGACAAATAGAAAGAAACTTAGGCTTCTCCAAGTATAAATGGAAGGACTCCAATTCTAAAAAGCAGGTTGCTAGCACAAAGAAATTTGATTAACTAATTAGCTAAACACTAATAATTTGGCAGCACCTCTCTGCTATTCATTTGGGCATATCAACTGTGCAAAGAGAATTATTGTCATTTAATTTACAAAAGTATTCAGATTGACTTAGTTGTTTTCTACTCAGTAACTTTTAATCCTAGCAAAGATTATGCATGAATAAATGGTCTGATTTGGCATGGAGACTGATTGCATCCTATCTGGGCCTCTTCAAACTCTTACGTGATTTTGTACAGGCATGTATACAAGTTTTACAGTCACAGGTATACAGTATATGGAAGCTAGAGGGAAATAATGAAATACATATCATGATGCCACAATTATTACTTAGATTGTTTTATCCTGCCTTTACTGTTTTTATAAAGTAAATCAAGGCAGTGAATACACTTAATACTCCCTTCTCCTATTTTCCAACACCAATTTTTGTCCAACCTGTGAGGTGAATTGGACTAAGAGAACATGACTGACCCAAAGTCATCCAGCCGGCTCTGTGACTTATATCTCACACTGGAACTTAAGTACAAAAGCCAAGATTTCCATTGTTGTTTGTCATTGTGATTACCTGAGGACATCTACCGACATCAAACAAGCTTTTCCAGCTCTAGCAAAAATGCATAATATTTATGCATAAATGTGATTTACTGGTTTCAGAAAAATTATTCACATCTCTGTAACCCAAGTTAGTCTTCGCTCTACACAGTTGACAGGTTTACTAATTGAAATGCATCGTTGTTACTAGCATTAGCATTTACATTGCAGCACAATGCCCAAGGTGGGAATATATGCAGCTTTTTACCTTAGCAGTAATAGAGAAATTATGCAGCAATTAGTGTAATGAGATGATAATAATGCATTGTTCTAGGAGAATATAAAGAGTTAACCATCCATATAATAATTGGGTAGGTAAGCATGCAGATGGAACTTGTGTGATATATCTCTTTAAAGAGAATGAATTTATGTCCTAATTGCTTGAGAGATATAACGTGATATCCCCCAACCTACATCTAAGATGCTATGCTAATCAGGAAAATGACCGAACAAGAAAATAGTTTTTTATTTTGGAACAAAAAAGAAAAAGCAACTGGACTGTTTTTTTGTTTTGTTTTTTGAGGAAAAGCAAGACGTTTTGCTTCCTATCCTGAAAGCTTCATCAGTTGTATTGGATGCTGTGGGAGAGGAAGGACAGTTACTGACAGTTGAGATTAGTTGGTGAGAGGGAGAATGAGAGGTTCTGACAGGATGGTGGTGGTGTGATGGAAAGATTGTGTTTTCTTTGCAGTCAACTGGTCTAAACAGTCTCTGACAGCATGTCAGGGTTCTGACTATTGGCCTACTTAAATCATGAGCCTCGAGCCAAGCTTCAAAAGAATCCAAAATATTTATTAGGAGCAACATGTCCGGCATTAACCCGTATGAAGCCAACTCTGAGACATGTAATTTACTATCACTTATGACCCTGTTTCCCCACCCCCACCCCGGTGTGTCATAAATCAGATTCTCCAATGAAACACATTCAAGGGCTGGGTGTCATCCATCACACTCTCCAATGAAGGATTTTTGTGGGCAAAAGATCCAGTAGCCTAGGCTACAATCTCCACAAGATAAGCGTGGAATTCGCTTCTGGCCTTCATCTACCGCACTACTCCCTCAGGCCTTTCCCCACCCCCCCACCCCCCTTTTTCTTATGGCAACTCAGAAAGAGGCATAGGAAGGATTTACGAGTTGACACAGCAAGCACTTCACAAATGCATGGAACAACATAGGAGAAATAACCCATCAGGACAATATTCAGCAGTCTACTTGCATTTGAAAGATAAGGGTCATTTTTTTGAAGACAGCAAAGTCCACATTTTGGATAGAGAGGACTATTCGTTTGAAAGAGAAGTAAAAGCGGCCATTTATGTTAACCTTGAGCAGCCCTCTTTCAACAGAGGAGAAGGGAAAAGATACCACCTATCCCCAATTTACATTGCAGTCCTTTTGGCTGTTCCAAGAAGATTCCACACCTCTGATTCAGGTGACCCTGAGGTCACAGAGAAAACCCCAAGAAACTACAACAGCTTTCAGAAAGTGTTAAGACCAGTTGATTACAAAAAAACCCACAATCTTTCCATTTCCGCCCCCCTCCAATCCATCCTGTCAGAATCTATCATTCCCTCTCCCACCAACTAATCTCAACTGTCAATAACTGTCCTTCCATCTCCACAGCATTCAATACAACTGGTGAAGTTTCCAGGATAGGAAGCGAAATGTCTTGTTTTTCCTCAAAAAAAAATCAGTTCAGTTGCTTTTTTTTTCCAAAATAAAAACCACTTTTATTACAGCTGTGACCTGGATAGCTGAGAATTTTCAGACAAAAAAGAAAGGGCATAGCTTCAATTAAAGTAAAACTTCCCTTTAGGGATGGCTGTGAGATTTTAAAATATGTTTAGTTCTCCTCAAAACCAACTAGAAGAAAATATGTCATATCGAATCAATCCAGTTTTGCCAAACGATTAACATTACCTCCTTTTTAATGATTTTGTTAAGGACAGCCAGCATGTTCAAGAGTGACTTTAGAGCTTCTTCTTTCATATTTTTCACATCAAATGCACTGTGAAATACAGATATTTGAATGATGGTTATACACCAGAACATATGGAACAATTGTACTGCTTCAACAATATGCTGAGCTTTGAATTTATAACTTCATAGTAGACATATAAAAGTTACCCAGATTATAAATTACTCTATGCTGTACACTAAAAATGATGTCACTATTATTCAGGAGAAATGTTAATTGCAACATTAATTAACCCATAGCAATTCCTTCTTGCAACATAGAGACGACTTTTGAATTCTGGGGTAAACAGAGTATCATTGTGGGGCAGGGTGGGTTTTTTTTTTAATATGGGGAAATTTTAAATGTTATAAGACACCTGGAAACACCACTGTGTGAGTTTGGCAGCCTTATAATTTTGCAAAATAAATAAATAATCACAGACCATTTCTCTTTGACCTTCTACGGGTAATCTTAGACAGATAATCAGAGTTGGAAGGGATCTTGTAGGTTATCTAGTCCAACCCCCTGCCCAAGCAGGGGGTTGGACTATTTCTGACAGATGGGAGTCCAATCTCTTCTTGAAAGTCTCAAGTGATGGCTCTCCCACAACTTCCGGGGGAAAGCTGTTCCATTGGTTGATTGTTCTCACTGTCAGAAAGTTTCTCTTTATTTCCAGGTTAAATCTCCCCTTGGTTCAGTTTCCATCCATTGACTTATGACCACAATTCGGCCCAAAATTTATGTTGCTGAGTGAAACATTTGTTAAGTAAGTTTTGCTTCATTTTACAGTCTTTCCTCCCAGAGTTGTTCAGTGAATCATGGCAGATATTAAGTTAATTACACTGTTTTTAAGTGAACCTTGCCTTCCCCATTGGTTTTCCTTGTCAGAAGGTCACAAAAGCTGATCACATGACCCCCGGACTCTGTTACTGTCATAAATACGAACCAATTGTCAAGCATCAGAATTTTGATCACATGACCATAGGGAAGCTGCAAATGTCATCAGTGTGAAAAATGGTCGTAACTCACTTTTTTCAGCGCCATTGTAACTTTGAACGTCACCAAATGAACTGTTGTAAGTAGAGGAGTACCTGTACTTTACACAGACAAGATTTTTGCCATCTATCCTTTTAAACTGGAGAGGCTGAACATTCTTTTTCATGGAAAGCTGAACACTAAATATTTGGTTGTATCATGATACACCTTCTTTTGAGCTGGTGAACGGTAGGACTAACCTGATAGTAGTTTCAAACTCTTTCATATCCAGTCCCTTTGGAATGTGAACAGTTGGTGGGAGCAGGTGTAGGCCACTGTCGTCAACAGCGGCTGCTGTTTTAATAGGAGGTTTCAAAGACAAAACGCTTTTCATATGCGTCTCCAAAAACCTATCTGTTTCGATGACTTCATTGACGTCTCCAACTTCTTGAGGACTCAGGAATTCCACATTGGTCTGTGTAACCTCAGCTTCCTCTGCTTGACAGGATACAGTACTGAGATCTTGCACTGGAGTTACATCTGGGAACAACAACAGAACACAGCCTGCCTCTATAGTAAAGACAAACTATTCGTGTTTTCCTCAAGCCAGTGGCTTCCAGATCTGTTGGGATTACAACTCTCAAAATTCTAGCCAACTTGTTTATGGAAAGTTGTTTAAAGTTGGAAAGTTGTTTATGCTAGTTATACTTGGGGTTTGAGTACTGCAACATTTTCAAAACTATGAACCTATTTCTGAGGGGCAGGGAAAGCATTTAGCTCAGAAAGTATTCATTTAGTTCAACATTTGAACGTAATTGTTTTTAGGAAAAAAAAACTTATTAAAGCGTATTAAAAATAGACAGTTTTCACATTTTTATTGCCTAGTGTATAATATTTAGCAATCCTCTTGTTGGAGCTATATACAAGTCAGTTAGATGGGTTGTGTCTACTTTGAAAATGAGTTGGAAGAAATGTTTCAAAATAGAGGGAACACAGTACTTGATTAAAGCAACTGGGCTTTTCCCAACTGCTACAAGAAAAAAGAAGATGTTGTTCCATTAATGCAGGGGTGTAAAACCCATGTCATCATAGCGGTCCCACATGACATATCAGGACTTTTTTCCACTTCGCTAAACCAGGCGTTGGCGCTGTGGCCAGCGCGTAACGCATTCGGACCTCTTTATTGCAACTCATTGTGCTTATGCTTCCACATTCTGAAAAACACTTCTTTTGGTTGATATTTTAAAGTATACAGTCTTTAAGTCCATGCAGCGTATTTGTAAGTACACTCATATTCTTTTAAATTAATCGAACTGCAGTTATTTCAACCAAGTATACTGTCATAATTATTCATGCTAAATTTGCCACTGACATCCTTTATATCTTCAATCTTTCATTTAGCCATTCAGAAAGAAGAAATAACTTTAGGACGAGTTGTTAATTTATGTTGACTAAATTAATTTAGTCAATATATTGTCAATTTATGTGACTTTATCACCTAGCAATGTTAAAATCTAGCCAATCTAGTTTCTAATACTGCTTCTAAATTGAAATAGAAATTTGATAACTTGTTCTACTTAAGGATCTGCTTTGGAATATTTAAACTTGATGAGTGAGATTTCTGTGAATTAAGAAAAGGATAGACAGTAAACTAAATCTAGAAATATTTTAATATTTTTCCATGATCTGCAGCAGTGTATCAGAAAAAAAGGTGATTCTTGCCATTACCTTCATATGTCAAACACTTCCAATATGGCTTATGTGCAGCTCTCACATTCTGAATGGATTCCTTTGCACTAAAAAGATCAAATGGGATACACATTCTCTTTAAAAATATTATATTATATTATTATAATATAATATTTTAATATTATAACCTATCCATGTCATAATTCTACACCATTGTTTTCCTACAATTAAGAACAGATTAAGAACATATCTTCCTCACTGAGCAATGATTTTATGATGGAACAATGCAACACGTTTTATAGACCTAACATCCAATTTCTCCTCTGAAAATCTTCACAGGTTTGTCTACCACAAGTCAGCATATATAAAACTGTTAAAAGCTGCATTTAAATGCAGGGCTTGGGTAGACAAGTAAAAACCTAAGTAAATGCTGAACTTTGCAATGTTGCCAGACTCAAAATAGTGGAATCCTATGTACAGACATGTCCACAGAGGAATAAAAAAAAGGTTCAGACAGTAGTCTCAGTTACATGATCACCATTTTGGCTTTTTTGACAATCCTTTAATGGAAATAACTTTGTAAGATGGTCACATCCACAGTCTTGTTTAAATCTGGCCTTTTGTCAATGCAGATCTTTCTAGTTATTACATGCATACACACATGAACATTGCCATACAAGCACCTTAAACACGGCATCATTTCACCAGACAAAGGAGGTAAAGGATCTCCAAGCAAAGCTTTTAGAGTCATGCAGACTGATTCAGAGAGTGACCATAAGTGATATCCACCCTAAATAAAAACAGATATAAAGTATAAAGGAGCATATAAAATTCCAAGCAAAGATTAAGCAAACAACATCCGCATGTTAAATTATCAGAAAATTAAAAAAATGGTATTCCTAGGGCACCAGTGTATGTTGGTCTCCTAGCACCTGATGCAAGCACTATTGAAAACATCTTCTTCACTTAAGGCAGGGGTCCCCAAACTTGGCAACTTTAAGACTTGTGGACTTCAACTCCCAGAATTCTCCAGTCAGCTATGCCACAAGTCTTAAAGTTGCCATGTTTGGAGACCTCTGACTTAAGGATGGCTTGTTCAGTGATCATTCAAATTAATGGTGGCCCTCAACCATGATATTTACAACCAGTCTTCAAAGTTCCAGCTGTCACAGCATTCATGCAGTCACATGATCACGATTCAGGAAATTAGGGATCAGCTTGCAATGAGGATGTTACAGTCTATTGCAGTTATGATCACAATTTGGAATCTTCACTGCTGGCTTCCTACAAGGTCAACAGGCAAGCCGGCAGCAAGTTGAAAATGGCAACCACATGACATTGGGCTTAACAATGGACAGGATTTGCTTAACAATGGCAACCAGCGGTGCCAGAATTGCAATTGCTAAAGCAGTACAGTCATGTGACATCTTGCTTTAGGATTGCCATTGTTTATTGACAGAAATTCCAATCCAGTTACTGAGGACTAACTGTGTAAGCCAACCTAAATCTCAATTACCGGGTGGGAGGGGTGGGGAATGAGAATCCCAGAAAATGAGTGGCAGAGTGCTTTTTCCTCCTCCAAACAGCTGATTTTGCTGCCAAAGCCAGTTTTTTAGCAGTGGCTTGCCAGATTTGAAGGAGAACAACTAGGAATGACTCAGATTGACCCTTGGACGACTGTGTACTTGCTTGGGAAGAGAATCCAGAGGATTGCAATTCTTGTTAAGAGCAGCCAGAGGATCGTGTCTCCATCTTTTCCCTGTCACTGTATTTTTTAGATATGCCTGTTTTTTTATATCACTTTTTGAAGCTTTGAAGTTTACTGGTTAATAGCCTGGCTGAATGCTGATGTGCTTTACACTCCCTTTGTTGGAATACAACTTCCTTCGTTATACTTTGGAATTTTAAAATACTTTCTTTCACTGCAAGGAAGTCAACAGTGTGAGGGTTTCCCTCTTCACAGTGAAAGGTTTTATTTACCTTTAAAAGACAGGAAATTTTTCCTCTTTTTTTCTATTTACTTTATCATGGGAATTCTTATCTTGGCTTCATCAATGGTTATTTTACTATGGAACATTTAACTTTCTTTGTCCTGGGAAAGAAACTTTGCACTCTGCTGTGAAAGCTTCAGCATAAGAGAGACCTGGGCTATATTAAAATCAAAGTAACAATAAAGTAAGGATTTTGAATATTGCATATTACGACATGCAACAGAAGACAGCTGCCAAGAGACATTGCATTCCAATTTGTAGGAAAATGTACTGAACAAGAAGTGTTACGGAAATATTTTCAAGAGAGACCTATGTCTTTGAGGAATGAGAAGCAGTTGTTTGGAAACTTTCCATTTACAAAGAAAAGTAAAGATGATAAGCCGGAAGGAATTGTTTTTTCCATTAAAAATCAATCTATGTATTTGATCCTGGAAGGTTCAGAGACAACGGTTGTAATGCATTTATGAGATTAGAAGAGGCTTCTGAACTTTCTGTGAGTTAAAAACAATAATAGATTGTTAACAGAGTGCTTTGAAGTTTAACTTTGTTGTCCGAATTATCTGTTAATTGCTTTTTTATATAATAAATAGATGGTAGATCAAATTGGTTTATTAATTGATGTCTATACTTGTGATATTTAAATGTTATATACTAATTTTGCAAATATAGAGGTAGAAGGTTATAAATTGTCAACCTGCTTTGCAAGGGGAAGGCAATAATTATTATTGCTGAAACCTATTTATAAGTATAAATAGAGAGGAGATATTTAATGTGTATTTTTGACATTCTGTTTTATGCACGGTTTTTGTCTTTATTGTTATATATTCTTTTTCTCTTTTTCTGCTTTTGTATTTCAACTCTGGAAGTAAATAAAAAATATCAGGAAAAAAGTACCCCCCAAAAAATAAAGTAATAAGTAATAAACTTCATTTCATAAAGAAAGAAGTGATATAACTATAAGAAGCCATAGTATTATCTCAATATTCCAAAACCTCGAATGTTTTTATGATCTCTGGAATGGCTCTATGTGGCCTGGTTGCCAAGTACACAAAGTGAGGTCACATGACTGTGGGTGGGAGGGGGGAACCACTGGAACTTCAAATTCAGGTTGTAAGTATCCCTCAGGTAGGTCCTTTGGAACTTCGATTGGTTGCTAAGCGATATGTCCTAAGTGGAGGACTACCTATATCAGGCATGATATTCCCCTCTGAAAAAAAAATCAGGGCCGGCCAAAAGAGACCCCCCCACCGCGTGCCAAGAAATCGCTGCCCAGCTCCCTTTTCCTGCCGCTCAGCGGCCTCCGCTCACACCGCCCGCCCGGGCTCCGCTCGCACCGCCCGCCCGGGCTCCGCTCGCACCGCCCGCCCGGGCTCCGCTCGCACCGCCCGCCCGCCCGGGCTCCGCTCGCACCGCCCAGGCTCCGCTCGCACCGCCCAGGCTCCGCTCGCACCGCCTGCCCGCCCGGGCTCCACTCAGGTATCCGGCTGGGGCTGTCAGGAGTTGCTACTGCCGGCGCGGCTCCGCGCGGCTCCAGTCCCGCGTTGCCTCGGGAAGGGAAAGGCAAAACCAGGAGCCGCTGCTGCCGTTGCAAAGCGCGCCGCGGCTCTTCCTTTTTACCTTTCCCTTCCTGAGGCAACGCGGGACTGGAGCCATGCAGAGCCGCGCCAGCAGTAGCACCTCCTGACTCGGGGCCTCCGAGGGGAAGGGAAGGAGGAGAAGAAGGGGGGAAAGGGGGGGCGATTCCCAAAAAAATCGGAATTTCGAGTTTAATCGGAAGAATATCATGTCTGCTATATTCATAGACCAGTGAACATCTGAGATTGTTTTGACCCAGGCTTTGTCAAACATAATTAAACACAAACTTGTTTTAAAAGCAAAACCTATTTTAATGCAACGCTGGGAATTATTTTCATTCACAGCCCAAACTAACTTAAACAGATAAGCACATGCCCGTCAGTGCTATGGAATGCTGCCAAAAACAGAAGTATCCAAATTAATTATAACAGTAAGAAATAAACAGAAAAAAAATGACCAGAATACGCAGAGCTTCAAGAAGGACTTGGAATCTAATGGAACTGCTTTGCTTCCTGCAAAGCGTTCGTCACTGAGGTCTGACTTTTATCCCTTATGGGAGGGGAAATCAACTCCCAGCCTTATTCCCTCTAATTAAAAAGTTGAAAGCATTTATTAAATTGGAAATCAGATTGCATTCAAATCCATACCTCTAAAACTGCACACAACTTTCCATTAGCTAAATTCATTAGAAAATGGGTAAGATGGGAAAAGCATTCTGGAGTTGCTTTCATCTGCCCCTAAAAACAAAACAAACAGAAACGAAGATATATTTTTTTAAAAAATGGTCTGTTTTCATGGGAAAAGAGAGAGAAAAGCAGTAACAGTATCTAGAAAAGAGCTTACCTCTGGGTCGCCTATTCCAGAGTCATATCCAGCAGAAATCAAAACAAGTTCTGGATCAAACTACAGTTGGAAAAAAAAAATCAACACAAGCAGAATTTATATTATAGTATAATGTGCACAGTATAAAGATGCTGTGAGTTGTAATTCATCAACATCTGGAAGGTCACAGGTCCTCCAATAAGCATTTCAAGGCATATCCAACCACCTACTTTCTTAAATTAATCAAGATTTGATTTCTGATCTACTGTTCCCTTTCCAACTTTTCATAAAACCTTTGAGCAGTGTTTCTCAACCTCAGCTAGTTTAAAATGTGCAAAATTCCCAGAATTCCCCAGTTGAAAAACAATGACCCACAAAGGTTCCCTGATTTGCTGCCTTTTTGTTAGGAAGAACTTGCATGCAAATAACCCCTCCAATTGACCAATGTAGGATATGCAGGGCCAAAATTGTCTAATCAGACCTCACACATTCTTAATTCCTTGCTCATTTGTTTCTTGCCCAATTTGGTCCCCTTAGCAGTTTGAGCTGCTGGATTTTCCATTTTCCATTCATTTTAAAACCATGGATCTCAAACAGAAAGGGAAACGTGAAGACCAAAGTACAGGTAATGAGCTCCAGTTACAACCATTTATTTTATAGCAGCGGTAAAAAAAAAAGTGATTTACGCTCCTACGGCCATTGTAGCATCCACATGGTCATGTGATCAAAATTTAACAACCAGCATGTGTTTTCAATAGTTGTACCACCCTGGGGTCATGTAGATCACTATTTGCAATGTTCCCAGCCTGCTTCTGACAAGCAAAGCCAATGGGGGAAGCAGGATAATGATCACGTGATTCGCTTAATAGCAAAACAGGCCATAAAATGAAGTGCAGCTCACTGAACAACTTCCTTGCTTACTAATGGGAATTCTACCCTGTTTTCTCCAACAATACGGCCTCCCCCAATAGGAAGTCCCAGCATGTTTTATAGGCATGAAATGAAATTAAGCCCCTCCCCCCAAATTAAGGCCTATATTAAAACATGTGAAATGGGGGGGGAAATGGCGAGGGGGCTTGCAATTAGGAAGTACTTTTGTTGCACACCCGGATATGGTGCTGCCTGCATTGACCCCGATACGAAGTGCCCCACCAACGCCGAGGTCAACATCCAAGCCGTCGCTGCCCGCCCGCCCAAAGATGCAAGGGGGGGGAATTAAATCACCCCCGAAAAGACAGCCTAGCCATTTTTTCAGGGCTCAAAAAAAAAATAAGACCCGGCCTTATTATATGAGAAACACAGTAGCCCCAATTGTGGTTGTAAGTTGAGGACTACCTGTAGCATCTCTGGAGCTATTCGTTTCACACCACTACAGAGATGTCAGATAACTGGTTCTGTCACACAATCGTACAACACTCAGAAGTTGTAACATTTGTGAAAGGACTCATAGTCTCTTTAAAAAAAAAAAAAAACCTAGCAGCTCTCCTTATGCAGAGATAATTATAGCATAACAACAAAATTTGGGAGCTCCCAAAGGGAACAAAAAATTCAAGAGTGTAGTATAGCTGCTGTCTTAGTTTGGGGGGCCTTCTTCCTGCAGATAATCCTAAACCTTTTTTTTTTTTTAAAGAAATTGTTCCTTTTAAATAACTGAAGATTATTTCTGATACTACACAAAAGTATTTTACTATTGTCCTCTACTTTGAAACAGCATCCATAATTGGGGGTGGGGGTGGGGGAAGGTCCAGAATTCAAAAGTTACCTCAAAAGCTATTGGAAGCAAGACATGAAGAAATGCAGCCAAATAATCTGAATTTCCCATTCCAATCTACAAAGCCAAGCATAATAAAAAATAACAGTTCTCTTAAAACAGAAAACAAACAAACACCCCCCCACCCAATTGCCATTATATAGGCTTGTCAATCCAAATATCTTACTGGAAATTATCTCTGGAGAGCATTGTGCTTCTCCAACAAATTCTAAATTGTATTCAGCAAACTGTTTTCTAAATCCCCAGGAAGGAAAATTATATGGACATTAAAAAAATTGTATTATGGTAGGTTTCATCTGACAATATATAATCTGTATCTTACTTTTTACTTTTTTTGCCTCAAATGCCACCCTCATTAATATTACCACAGTAATAAAACTTTGTCATTTCTCTTAAAAGTCCGTGTTACAAATAATTTTTTTATAAACAGTAGAGTAGTAAAATGAAGAAGTGTTTTTGTTAAAGTACAGTATTTCAGTGGAAACCATGCTTCCCTGTGCATAATTCATCAGCTGTACATGAGAACACAAATCTATTCTAATTACAAAATGAGTTCTCAGCTGACTGCAAATACATATATTAGGTATATAAATGGAATTAAAAACAAAACTGCATCAAATGCATGACTGCTAGAATTGAGCATCTATTTGTATTATAGTGCTATTAAACATGATTTACCTGATTCCAAGGGACATTTATGGTGAATCCTCTTCCCTTCCCCTGACCAACTGCATCATAATTAGACTCACTGAGGCAAGGCCAAAACTTCTGGTGTTCAAACCGATGCCAGGAAAAATAGAGAACACTAACAAAAACAAAGTAGCATTTAATGAAGTTGCAGATAACCAAACAAGCAAACTACTCTCAGCAGTGCTTATTCCAGAACAGATGAATTAAGTCTGAAATCTATGAATTTTCACTATTTAGTTTTCTGGAAATTGATCCAAATAGAGGATGTTCTCAAAGAGTTTAATTTTGCATAGTTAGAGAGTCCGAGTAGTTTATAAGATGCCGCTGAAATAAAGTTTCCAAAAAAATGTGGGTGTTGGTATGAGTGCCATCCATTTTGTAAATGCATCTCACAATGATATGTGTACTTTTAATCAATTGTTTTCATCTTTATTTATCTTTGAATAGGACCTCATCTATCGCTTCAACACTGAAGGGAGTTTTACAACAATGTTAAAAACACAGACTGTAAGATATAGGTTATAGCAAAATTAATACAATTTGTCTAAAAACCAAAATGATACATAATTGGGTAGTGAAAGCTATCAAAACATCTTGAGGCCTGCTGTCTGCTACTGAAGTTCATTGTTAATTCGTTTCCAAAATAAAAACTTTTTGAAAAATCATGCAGGTTTGCTGAACAAGTAATTGACGAACCTTGGGTCATCATCAAACGCATATTGAATTCCTTGTCCATGATGCACATCCCAGTCAACAATGAGGATTCTGCATGAACCAACAGTGACATTCATTAAAAGGCAAGATCTTCAAGAATTTGTGATTTTCAATAGACATACTCCACCTTTGCAGGCCATATTTTCTTTGAGCATATTTTGCCGCAATAGCAACATTATTGAAGATACAAAATCCATTGGCTGCACTTCTTTGACTATGATGACCTGGAGGCCTGCAACCAAGCATGATAGAGTCAGTTAACCATAAACTGTGCCATGGAACATTTACCTAGGGAACATTTCAGTTTGGTTACCTTATTAGAGTCAAGCCATTACGGGTCTTTCCCGACAACACAGCATCTACCAGTTGCAGTGTTGCTCCCACAGCCAGTTTGGCACAACGATACGTTGTCTGAAGAACAGAACAAGTTCATGATTCAAAGACTCTACTGCAGTTTCCAAGATGAATGAATGAAGGCTGGAGAGATGGGAACAGGTTGGCACTGTACACCACTGAATTTCCCCTCATCCAGGCATTGGGTATTAGAACTGTAATTCAAAGAAGCACTCAGCAGTCACTTCCTCCCAATTTATATTTTCAGGAGTAGGAGAACCAAGAAAGTAAGAATCTGGGGAGATGGATAGGATACGTCTGGAGGAAGCTTGGATCTTGGCCATAAGAAAACCTCTACCTGTTCAGAGGGACAAATTTATGAATATATATTTAGTTTCAGGGAAGTAAGAGCTGTGAGCCCATGGAAACGTTTTAAAGTTAAGGGTGGCTATTAGAAACCCGTTTTATTTAACAAGGGCTAAATTTGGTTCCTTCTGCAAATATTAACAAAATGACTGTGGTGTTCAGCATCTTATATAATCAGGCATGATATTCCCCTCTGAAAAAAAAATCGGGGCCGGCCAAAAGAGACCCCCCACCGCCTGCCCCTCACGCAGCCCGCCGCCCGCGCTGCCCGCCCGGGCTCAGCTCGCGCCGCCCGCCGCTCACGCCGCCCGCCCGGGCTCAGCTCGCGCTGCCACCCGCCCGCCAAAAAATCGGAATTCCGATTTTAATCGGAATAATATCATGTCTGTATAATTTTGGGTAGAGGTTTTAAAAAATACAGGAAAAAAATCTGTAAATGAGGAAAGGGTTTAGTGGTGATAGATCTTTTTCAGACCTTCCATTAGGGAAGCCAAAAAAGTCAAAATGACAGGTGCAACCATGTGATCAAAGACTCTCCCATTTCCTAAATGTCCTTGGATCCTTTAGAAATATTCATGAGTTAAAAAACAATGTTTTAATTTTGAAGAATAGCAGCCCCACAGTTCTTTGGGTGGACAGCAGGATTTGGAGAAAAAGGTTTATAACTAAGGAATACGATTTCTAGGAAGAATGCTCGATTAGGCTCCATACTTGATGAAAGTAAACAGCATCATATTCAGCAGAGACTTTTTGGAGCTCTCCTTTTTCCATCTTCTCAGTGCTCTTCACAATTTCCACGTAATCCATACTGAAAAAGAAATATGTGTCACCCATAGACATAACATAGGGTGTGAGCCAGTTTCAAATATTACTCTGTTAATCAGGAATCTGGTTGCAGATAAAGTGACGGGACAGCTATCTATAGAAAGCCAACGGAGATCTGAGACAAGATGCTGAACTGATATGTATATAAACTGGGCTCATTACTGATTTTTCCCCTAAGCCAAAACTATATTGGGCCAAAACTATATTTGCATGGCTGCCATGTAAAATGCAATCCCATTTTTTTGGGATGGATTTTTTTAAAGTTTAGAACGCTAAGTCTAGGATGCATTGAACTCAGTAATCCAAAAGAACATCTCTTAGTGATGCCTCATTCCTTACTGTGACTCAGTTCAGCACAACAAGAATAGAACAGAATAGAATGGAATGGAATGGAATGGAATGGAATAGAATGGAATAGAATAGAATAGAATAGAATAGAATAGAATAGAATTCTTTATTGGCCAAGTGTGATTGGACACACAAGGAATTTGACTTGGTGCAAATGCTCTCAGTGTACATAAAAGAAAAGATACATTCTCCAAGAGTCAAGAATCATAAGGTACAACACTTAATGATAGTCATAGGGTACAATAAGCAATCAAATCGTACTAGGAAATAGTCAATATAAGAAACAAAGTTACAGTCATACAGTCACAAGTAGGAGGGGCTGGGTGATAAGGAATGACAACAAGATTAACAGTAATAGTAGTGTAGACTTTGTCCAATAGTTGAACAGGGTTGAGGGAATTATTTGTTTAAACCTCCCAAGTTCATGAGACAGAGAATTAATGTCATCCCCCCTTTTCTATTCAAACATATATTCCCTTTTTCCATTTTTTGTGGATTTATCTGAGTAATTACATTTACGTCAATGTTGATGCTAAGAAACTGCGGGGAATGGAAAAGCTGGGAGCCCTTAAAAGAGGGGATGATGGTCTGGAGCCATAGCTAAGGGAAGCAGGGAAGAGATCCTAGAAGCCAAGAGAAAACTCATTGAAAGGGTAATTTAAATATTCAGAAATCAAGCTTTAGCTGAAGAACATAGGATCTAGAATAATAGGGTTGAAAGAAACCTTAGATAATAATAGGGTTGAAAGAAACCTTGTTCAACCTCTACCCATGGCAGGACATCCTATATCATTCAGGACAAATAGCTGTCCAGTCTCTTCTTGAAATCACCAGTGATGGTTGTTAGGGATAACATTGTTTACCCTAACTGGTTTGGGTAAAAATAATAAATAAGGTATCATGGTTTGTTAGTTAAAGTGTGTGTAACTTTAACAGCAACAATGTAATTGAGGGTGTGGTTGTAAAAGCACTATATAAGAAGCGAGGCAATTCCAGCTCGCTCTCTCTGGCTTACTGATCCCTAATTACTGGATGGATTGATGACTGCGTTCTTGTAGGAGTGTTGATTTTTCTCAACGGAGAGAAAATAAAGATTGGACTGATTTATTGTAAGTGAACTGACATTGGCTACTCAACACGGATTTTGCAAATAGAGTATCCCCGACAAGACTTGACTGAAATTGATATATGACTAATGGACTGTTTAATTTGACTATGCTATAATTCTTAAATGGAATAAACTATATTTTTGATAGCACAAGCGTATCTGTATTTTTACTGCGTGTTAACTAGAAAACTTATCTCACACATTTACCTGTCTTCCTATCTGACTTCGCTGCACGTTCTGTTTAGTTTGTTTTCCTTAACACCCGTTGGGGAATCCAGGCTTAACAATGGTGCACCCCCAACTTCCAGAGGCAAGCCATTTCACTGATCGTTTTCATTGTCAAGGAAATTTCTCCTTAATTCTAGGTTGGATTTCTTTTTAATGAATTTCCTCTGGTTACTTCTTGTCTTGACCTCAAGTACTTTGGAGAATTGATTCTCCTCTTGGACAGCCAGTCAAGTACTGGAAGATTGCTACTATATCATCATCGTTAGACAAGACATACCTAGTTCCTTCAACCGTTCATCATATGGTTGAGCCTTCAGTCCCCTTATCATTTTGTTGCTCTACTCTACATTCTTTCTAGGATCTCAACAGAATCCACTTCTGAATTAAATGTTACCTCTTTGCAACTTGCTCAGCAAATGACCTTTTCTAGTTATCAGGATAATGAGATGATATGCTCAACGCCAGATTATAAAACAAGAGAGAAAGAAATGTGCCTATGCTGGGAGAGGTTTATGAAGTGTATACAGTAGAAGTGGTGTGTAAAAGTCTTACACAGGAGTGCAAAAGCTACTTTACCTATAAGTTTTATTTATTTATTTTTTATTTATTTATTTATTTGATTTGCCAATTGTTTACAAGATAATAAATATAAGTGTATACATAGTTGTGAATACATGAAATGGGTACATATATGAAAAATAAAAGAATAAGAGAAACAATAGGACAGGGACGGTAGGCACGTTGGTGCGCTTATGCACGCCCCCTACAGACCTCTTAGGAAAGGGGTGAGGTCAATAGTAGACAGTCTAAGGTTAAAGTTTTTGGGGTTTGGGGAAGAAACTACAGAGTCGGGTAGAGTATTCCAGACATTGACCACTCTATTGCTGAAGTCGTATTTCCTGCAATCAAGTTTGGTGCGGTTAACTTTGAGTTTGTATCTATTGTGTGCTCTTGTGTTGTTATGGTTGAAGCTGAAGTATTCATTGACAGGTAGGACATTGCAATGTATGATTTTATATACCATGCTTAAATCAGACCGAAGACGGCGTAATTCAAGGTTTTCTAGTTCTAGAATTTCAAGTCTGGTGGCATAAGGTATTCTACAACGAGTAGAGGAGTGGAGAACTCTTCTTGTGAAATATTTCTGGACTTTCTCAATTGTGCTAATATCAGATACGTAGTGTGGGTTCCAGACTGATGAACTGTATTCGAGTATTGGTCTAGCAAATGTTTTGTATGCTCTGGTTAGTAGTGTGATATTACCAGAGAAAAAGCTACGTAGGATTAGGTTAACAACTCTTAATGCCTTTTTGGCTATGTAGTTGCAGTGGGCTCTAGCACTTAGATCATTAGAGGTGAGTATTCCAAGGTCCTTTACAGAGCTTGGGTCATCAACAAGATCTTGACTATTCAGCTTGCATTTTATTTTCTGATTTTTTTTGCCAATATGTAAGACAGAGCATTTATTTGTTGAGATTTGAAGTTGCCATTTGTTTGACCATTCTGATACATAGTCAAGATCTTTGCTGCTTTTTGCCCGATTCTTCCCCTGCACTCTATTCGAAAGGGAAATTTTCCTGAAATTAAAATACTATTAGCTTTTGGTAACTATCTAATTACTAAAAGCTGCAGTGGTGCAGTGGTTAGAGTACAGTACTGCAGGCTACTTCTGCTGACTGCCAGCTGCCTGCAATTTGGCAGTTTGAGTCTCACCAGGCTCAAGGTTGACTCAGCCTTCCATCCTTCCAAGGTGGGTAAAATGAGGACCCAAATTGTTGGGGGCAATACGCTGACTCTTTAACGCTTAGAGTGGGCTGTAAAGCACTGTAAGGTGGTATATAAGTCTAAGTACTATTGCTATTGCTACTAGGAGCATACCTGTGAATCAGCATGATTTCACTCTCAGTTCCTTCTCTGGCAGAGACCGAAATGCATCTTTCAATCAGGTTATAGTGCTGGAGGCGGCCATAGCAGGAAGAAAGCCGTTCAGGGACCTCAATCTTACAGGCTTCGCTAAAAATTTGGATTCCCAGTGAAATCATTAGAAATCTATGTTGCAGCTAAGAAAGAAGATATTTTTTATTACTAGAAAGAAAGAAAAACTGAAGGAAGGAATGTGTTCTTTAGTACAGTATTGATCATGAAATACCTCAGATATTAACTAAAATCCTTTTAAACTGGAGGTTTGAATGATACAAAAGAGCATCCCAACAACCTTGGTTGTTAAGAGCAAGGCAATTAACTTTGTCATGATAGTCCTGTCTTAGACAGGCGATTGGACTAAAAGACCGCCAAAGTCCCTTCCAACTCTATGATTTTATGATTCTATGATAACAATGGACCAGTATTTCTAAGACTTGGCAACTTGAAGATGTGTGGACTTCAACTCCCAGAATTCCCCAGCCATGATGTCAACACATCTTAAAGTTGTCAAGGTTGAGAAACACTGCAATGCATTGAGCAGAATCGAGACCAGATTTTCTTTTTGAAGCATGCAAAAGTATCCACAGCAAGGGTGTATGTATCAATATCAAAGTCCCTCTCCTTTTGCACATGCAGCAACAATGCACAAGCATACAGAAGATGTAGGTTTCTGATCATGATGCTCCACTGACTGATAGGCGTGGCTATCGTGGCTAGAAATAGAATAAATAAAAATAAACAGAAGTATTGGCCATTAGTGTTAGGAATATAAGTCACCTAACAGGTATTTGGGTTAGAAATATATAAACCAGGATAGATATTTTAAAACTGTATCTTTAAGAAAATGCAAAACTGTAGTTAGGTATGGTTTCTCAAACGGCCATAAGATGGAGCCAGAAACCTGTGTTGTTTTAGTCTTAGTCTCAGAAGAGAGTGTGTCTGAGTGAGTATCTCTGTTTCCTTCTGTTGGAAAATATTGCCGTTCCTCCATTTTTCCTAATTGACTGATATTTCTGGATTTGATGTAAGTCTGATACTGAACTGTTTTTTGACACTGGACTTTGATATTTGGATTATGTCTGGATTGAAAACTGACTGATTTACTTGTGAATGACTTTGGACTGCCTATTTTGGACTTTGCTTAACGTTTCTGGAAGTAAAAACCTACATTTACTGTACAGTGTATCTGTGTGCTGTATGTGTATTATTCAAACACTCCTCTCAAATATGTCTCCCTGTATGCGCTCATTCTCCTAACGGGGAATTACCTCAACAATTAGTATATTTCATGCATGTGAAAAAACTGCACACGCATCATACACACAAGCACCATCTAGCCAGCCTGGCTGACCTAAAAAATATATACACTGCTCAAAAAAATAAACCGAACACTTAAACAACACAATGTAACTCCAAGTCAATCACACTTCTGTGAAATTAAACTGTCCACTTAGGCAGCAACACTGATTGACAATCAATTTCACATGCTGTTGTGCAAATGGAATAGACAACAGGTGGAAAGCAGAGGCAGTTAGCAAGACACCCCCAATAAAGGAGTGGTTCTGCAGGTGGTGACCACAGACCACTTCTCAGTTCTAATACTTTCTGGCTGATGGTTTGGTCACTTTTGAATGCTAGCAGTGCTTTCACTCTAGTGGTAGCATGAGACGGAGTCTACAACCCACACAAGTGGCTCAGGTAGTGCAGCTCATCCAGGATGGCACATCAGTGCAAGCTGTGGCAAGAAGGTTTGCTGTGTCTGTCAGCGTAGTGTCCAGAGCATGGAGGTGCTACCAGAAGACAGGCCAGTACATCAGGAGACATGGAGGAGGCTGTAGGAGGGCAACAACCCAGCATCAGGACCGCTACCTCCATCTTTTGTGCAAGGAGGGACAGGAGGAGCACTGCCAGAGCCCTGCAAAATGACCTCCAGTGGGCCACAAATGTGCATGTGGCTGCTCAAACGGTCAGAAACAGACTGCATGAAGGTGGGATGAGGGCCCGACATCCACAGGTGGGGGTTGTGCTTACAGCCCAAAACCGTGAAGGACGTTTGGCATTTGCCAGAGAACACCAAGATTGGCAGCTGCACCACTGGCGCCCTGTGCTCTTCACAGATGAAAGCAGGTTCACACTGAGCACATGTGACAGACGTGACAGGGTCTGGAGATGCCGTGGAGAACGTTCTGCTGACTGCAACATGCTCCAGCGTGAGCAGTTTGGCAGTGGGTCAGTAATGGTGTGGGGTGGCATTTCTTTAGGGGGCCGCACAGCCCTCCATGTGCTCACCAGAGGTAGCCTGACTGCCATTAAGTACCGAGATGAGATCCTCAGACCCCTTGTGAGACCATATGCTGGTGTGGTTGGCCCTGGGTTCTTCCTAATGCACGACAATGCTAGACCTCATGTGGCTGGAGTGTGTCAGCAGTTCCTGCAAGACGTTGAGGCATTGATGCTATGGACTGGCCTGCCCGTTCCCCAGACCTGAATCCAATTGAGCACATCTGGGACATCATGTCTCGCTCCATCCACCAATGCCATGTTGCACCACAGACTGTCCAGGAGGTGGGGGGTGCTTTAGTCCAGGTGTGGGAGGAGATCCCTCAGGAGACCATCCGCCACCTCATCAGGAGCATGCCCAGGCATTGTAGGGAGGTCATACAGGCACGTGGAGGCCACACACACTACTGAGCCTCATTTTGTCTTGTTTTAAGGACATTACATCAAAGTTGGATCAGCCTGTAGTGTTTTTTCCCCACTTTGAGTGTAACTCCAAATCCAGACCTCCATGGGTTGCTAAATTTGATTTCCACTGGTAATTTTTGTGTGATTTTGTTGTCAGCACATTCAACTATGTAATGAACAAAGTATTTAATAAGAATATTTCATTCATTCAGATCTAGGATGTCTTATTTTTGTGTTCCCTTTATTTATTTTTTGAGCAGTGTATTAAGCAGGGACCAAGGCACCAATACTTTTTTGGGGTGAGCAGAAAATCCCAAGTTGCAGGGAAATCAACATCATATAAGGATCAAATGTCATTGTAACAACAGGATATCACACCAGGTGACACAGTACCTAACTGACCTTGAAGAAAGCTAAGCAGGGTCACATCTGGTTGGAATAAAGAGTTCCCTTGTTAATGTTTATGAGAAGCAAAAACCATCATCATAAAACAAATAACCATTTTCAGTAGGAGTGTGTACATCAACAACATGCATCATAAACAGAGTACAAAAAAGCCTTATCTATAATTGCTGAACAAATAATATTTTCCAGTGGTGCAATAAACATAAATCATGCAACCACACCAGTCAGCAACAGGACAAAAGAACAGATTGAAATCAATTAATAATGTCCCATATTGCCCTTCGATCTAATCTTATAGACAGACTGCAGCACAGAATCTGGCCTGGTCTTTATTAGCTAGTCGCAGAATCAAGGAAGAAAAATCTGATTCTCTGGGTCTATTTATACAAAGGTTTTCAGTCTTTAGACCCTGGCATAGATTTTTTTTTAAAAAGGAATGTCTCCATCTTCTCAGAACCACAGGTATATTATTAAATCTTTCCTGGAGCACAGCTGTGGGGATAAATGAGACAATTAATGAAGTTCTGTGAAACTTTGGAACTGATAGCTAACTGATCAATGTGCCTAAATAAATATTATTGGGAAAAAGTCTCAGAACTGTCTGTAAGTTCTGTCAGAATAAACTATTATTCTTGGTTTCTTCTAACAGCAGAAAGGGCTTCATTGTGCCCCCCCCCCCACCAGAAGAAACCTAAGTGGCAGGATCTCAGGTTAGATGTTCTTCAACTTCCTCCAATGATGTTACTTCAGAAAGTGATACTTAGGAGACTAGGGAAAGAAACAGAAGATCTAGTTTGTATTTGGATGGGACACCACACCCAGGAAATTCTAAGCTAGACCGAGATGTCTAAAAGAGAAATCCAGAAGAAGGCAGTGACAAGCCACTTCTGTATTCCTGCCAAGAAAAACCATGACAGGGTCCTTGTAGCCCAAGTTAAGGAACCTTTTTCGTCAAGGACAGGCAGTCAGTACATCTCAGGGCACGTTATTTAAATGAAGATGAAATAAGCTATGTTCAAATCATCACATACACTTAACCACCAAAAGCAACGTAAATTTTTACTTGCTCTGGTTATTTTGTCTCAAATGCTTCAGAAGAATGCAAAAGGCTGCATTCTTTATGTTCGTGCAACTGCAACAAATATATAAATGTTGGGAAGTAGAAAGTTATGAGAAGCACAAAACAACGTCATATTAATTAGGTTAGATATAAATGGAAGTAGAGGGTCTGACAGGTTTTCAAGATTGTGTTAGTCTGTCAAGATCAATAAATAGAAATTGTGAGGAATCTTGGAATATATCTGAATGTGGTTAGGATACTAATAACAATCTCCACAGTCAGCCAAAACTCTCTTTTCCAATTTATACCTAACAGTATCAAGTTGGAATTGTTTTAACTTTTGTTTTACTTTCCCAGGACTCAAATATCCTTTCTATAATAGTTTGGCATTCTTTCTTTTCCCTGAATCAAACGCGTGCAGGTAATGCTCATTTATAGATCATTAACTCAGCAACCGTTCAAAGTTGAAAGTACACTCTGTGAGGGATACTTATGATTGAAGTTTCTGGCTGAGTGCAATTGGCTTACTTGAATGGTAGCACTGTCCAGCAATCATGGGATCATAGTTTGTGACTTTTCCTGTCAGCCTCCCACAAGGAAAGTCAGAAGGAATGTCACAAGTCACTTAGGCATGTCCCCACCCCCTATCTCAGTGATGGCGAACCTTTTTGTCGTGGTGTGCTAAAAGCACGCTTGTGCACGATAGCACGCACACATGTGCCAGCCCCCACAATGCAATGCGCCCCACCCCCCACGCATGTGCGTGCAACACCCTCCTTCCACTGCCTCTTTACCTGCACTGCGCATGCGTGCGCCTCCTAGCTTAGGTTTGGCCCCGTTTGAGGCCTTTTTCGGCCTCCCAGAAGCTTGAGGGAAGCCTCTGCGGCCTTTGGAGGCCGAAAACCAGGGCCGTTTTGCAGCCTCCAAATACCAGAAGTAGCGAAACCGGAAGTACCTGAAGTGACGAAACGGGCCTGTTTTTCGGCCTCCAAAGGCTGCAGAGGCTTCCCTTGAGTCTCTGGAAGGCCGAAAAAGGCCTCAAATGGGGCCAAAAATAAGCTGGGAGGTGCACACATGCACAGTGCATGTAAGTTTGGCTGGGGCTTGCATGCTTGCACAAATGGCTCTGTGTGCCACCTTGTGGCATGTGTACCATAGGTTCGCCATCACGGTCCTATCTTCTTGCACACTGTGCTATGCCTTCCTTCCCTGCCTGGGCCTTGCTGTGCTCATATGCACACATCTGCATCCCAGCACCCTCTCCCCCAACTTCTGCGCATCCTGTACCAAGCAGTCCTGGTTCTAATTACCATCGTAACTCAAGGACAACCTGTATCTGCAATTCCCTTTTAGTGCAAAGTAAAGGTTTCTTAAAATGAAACAACAACAAAAGCTGTACTTACTCTTCCCAAAGTAGCTTATGGTTGATCATTTCACCATCATAAACCAAGGCTGTTCCAGCTGCCATCACTTTGAGAACACAATGCAAAAAATCTGGTATGTGGTTCATTCAAGAAACAAAACATGCATCAAAAAGGGAACCAACAGAATCAAGACATCGTTATTTTGCTTAGGACAATCTGAAGTGATGCTACTGCTCACCAATTTTAATAGAGCAATCCTCATCCTGGTTCAGTTTAACATTAAACTGTAGCTGAACACAATGTGAACAAGCCTATTTAAACTTCAGACAGAGCATAACTTCTTCCAGCCTTGAAGACCATTACGGAGGGAGAACTAAAAGCATCTCCTTTCAAACCCAAACTACTCATAATTGTTAGTTTGACAAGGATCAACGATCACCTAGGATTTACCAAAGTAAGGCAAAATCAACCACTATTTCCAGCTCTACTTTGTTTTGCTACTGTTCTTTGGTTAAAACAACCATATTTCCCAATAATTGCACAAGTTTCTGAACTGGAACTAAAGTAAGTTGCTGAATGCTAACTTCAGGATGTGTGAACTTCAACTCTCAGAATTCCTCAGCTAGCATAACCATCTTGAAACTGGCAAGCTGGAAAAACACTGAATTTGAGCATGTTCCTATCCAGCTGGAAGACATTCTCAAACTGGCTGGAGAATTTCTGAGGATTGAAGTCCATACATCTTAATGCTGCTGAAGCTGAGAAAAACTGAGTTAAGAGAGAATGGTTGGTCCAAAGTCCTGTAATCCATGACCTCTGGGATCAGAGTCCAGAACCAGGACCTCTGCTAGAATTAGTTAGAATTAACTACTTTTCTACACATTGAGTCTCCTTCCTATGGCAAACAGTACTCAGAACTCATCCATGGACATGTGAAGCTACAGCCATTTGTGAAGATATTTTAATAATGAAAGGTCTTAATTTTAGATTCTCTAATCTTCAAATTCTTAGGACTTAAATAAGCACAGAAGAACAATTTTCTCAATCTCTTGAAATACCACCCAGTGTTGCTCTTAACATCACTCTTAATTACACTCAGGGCTCTTTTACCAGTTAGGTGCAATCCATAAAATCCCGATGAAGAAAATAATTTCAAGATCAAAGCCCAGTGTTGAAAGACCTAGCAAGAATAAAATAATCTGAACACGCTGTGGACTTCAACTCCCAGAAATTCCCCAGGCAGCATCTTGAAGCTGCCAAGTTTGAAAAACACTGAATTTGAGAATGTTCCTATCCAGCTGGATGACATTTAGATACCATTCTCTAGCTGGCTGGGGAAATCTGGGAGTCCGCACTGTAAGAGTTGCCAAAGAGTTGAAAAAATACCAGTCTAAATCAAGCTATTTAAAATGACAAACGCTGAAAATTTTGCGTACTGTCCTCAAAAAAAAATATTGTAAAATGTAACATTAAAAAGGGGAGGGGGGATTCTGTAAAGGTACATGAGATTGTGTTGTTATATTTGAAATAGAAATAACTTTAGAAAATTGGAAACGACATATGATTAGAATGAGGGATAGAATGGCTAGTGTAATTTAGTGAAATGTTTGTGAATAAAGTAAATGAAATAAAATAAAATGAGAAAATTGAATTAGGAAGGAATGGGAACACCTTAATTAGTCAATGTTTTATAAAATATAAGTGAAGAGGGGGGAATTGATTATGGAAAGTTTATAACTGCTCCCATAGAAGTATGATATTTAATTGAAAAGTAAGGTGAAAAATGTTAAGACTGCAATGAATATTAATATTAATGATAGAATTGAATTGGAATGGAATGTTGTTTTAATAATATACATTTATATTTTTTTTCTTTTTTTAAGAATACAGCGTGTATTTTAAGAATGTACCAAGCAGAATCCGAATGGAAGTTATGTATTATATTGAATGTTATAACTTTAGGGGAAAGATATAAAGGCGTCATACTCCAATCAGTAACTACAGGAGAAATTTTGTTTAATGAGAAAAGATAATAGACAATTGAAACAGGACAGACAAAAAATATAAATATGATTTGAATTGAGATGAAATAAATACAATAAAATTGAGGAAATTAAAAGAGGGGAGAAGCCATGTAGAAAATGTAAAATTGTAATAAGATATGGAATAGAATATAAAAATGAGCATGAACCTGAATTTGTGTCTGTACGAAGAAATGTAATCCGGGATTATGCTGCTTTCAAAAAAGATGTTTTAATTGTATTTTCTTTTTGTGAAAACTCAAATAAAATTTACCCCAAAAAAAGGGGGGGAGGGGGAGGCCTATGTTTCCAGTAAGATTAAGCTCGGAATGTGCAAAAAGCAAGTTTTAAAAAAATCTTCTCCTCTGACCATGTGCAGAAAGCAATGCCAATCCCCCAAAGAAAGCACAGTCGTTTCAAAACAGCTGAAATCGCCTGATCGGAGTTGACAAAGGAAGATCTCAAAAGAATCTGTTCTTTGCGTTATTATTATTATTATTATTATTATGATTCCAAATTTAATTTTAGCCTAGCAGAAGCCTCACTTCTTAGAGCAGCCACCCAGACTCATAGTACAGGAAAAATGACAAACGGTATTTAGATGACAAAACAAACAAACAAAACCTTTCCTACCCGAATTACAGCGTCTGCTAAACTCTCCCACTCGGCGCACGGAGGGGAGGGGAAAGAGAAAAAAAAAATCAAAGTGCTTGGAGGAAGGAGAGGACAATCTGCAAGGTCTGATTGGCTGATTTGTGTCCACAGAAGGTTTAGTCGGGCCAATCGGGAAAAGCGGTTGCAAAGAAGGCGGGGGGGGGGACATCAAACCTGCCACACAAATGTTCAATTCCCGCCCTATTCTCCGCCTTTCCATTTCTGATTGGATAATCCTCTTTGCCGACCATAGCACATAGAATCGGGGGGGGGGGGGGGGGGGGGGGGGGGGAAAGGCAGGGGAAATAGATGGGTGCGTTTGTGACTCCAATCGAAGCGAGGTTTGGGCTGCTTCGTGTCCTGAATCTGGAAACAAAACAAAGTGTGCATGCTGCAACATAAGATTCTTGATTCTGTTAGCTCCCTTGGGCGGAAGTGGCTCAAGATTAATATTACATTGCAGTTGAATTCATTACTAACTAACATGTATGTGTAGAAGACATTACGAGCGATTACCTTGACTTACCGGTCAAGGAATGCTTTCAGCTTCAACCACAACAACACAAGAGCACACAAGAGATACAAACTCAAGGTTAACCGCACCAAACTTGCTTGCAGGAAATACGACTTCAGCAACAGAGTGGCCAATGCCTGGAATACTCTACCTGACTCTGTGGTTTCTTCCCCAACCCCAAAAACTTTAACCTTAGACTGTCTACTATTGACCTCACCCCTTTCCTAAGAGGTCTGTAGGGGGCGTGCATAAGCGCACCAACATGCCTACCCTCCCTGTCCTATTGTTTCTTTTATTTTTTATTTTTCTTATGTGTATCCATGTATTCATAACTATGTATATACTTATACCTATTATCTTGTAAGCGATTGACTAAATAAATAAATAAATAAGTAAGTAAGTAAGTAAATAAATAAATAAATAAATAAATAAAGCCACACAGATACTAGCCTACTTGTAGCAGAATACCTTATGCCACCAGGCTTGAAATTTTAGACCTAGACAACCTAGAACTACGCCGCCTTCGGTTCGATTTAAGTATAGTACATAAAATTATACATTGCAATGTCCTAGCTGTCAATGAATACTTCAGCTTCAACCACAACAACACAAGAGCACACAATAGATACAAAACTCAAGGTAAACCGCACCAAACTTGATTGCAGGAAATACGACTTCAGCAACAGAGTGGTCAATGTCTGGAATACTCTGCCTGACTCTGTGGTTTCTTCCCCAAACCCCAAAAACTTTAACCTTAGACTGTCTACTAGACCTCACCCCTTTCCTAAGAGGTCTGTAGGGGGCGTGCATAAGCGCACCAACGTGCCTACCGTCCCTGTCCTATTGTTTCTTTTATTTTTCTTATATGTACCCATTTCATGTATTCATAACTATGTATATACTTATACCTGTTATCTTGTAAGCGATTGACAAATCAAAAAATCAAAAATCAATCAAATACAACAACGACAACATAAAGGTCATTTTCTTTCCTTTACTTTGGCGAATTCCAATTTCTTGTAGAATCCATTCCTGGTTTTCTGTATAGCTCATGCTTCGCTGACTTTGTTTTCCATAGAGCCCAGCTGGGGCTATGTTCGTTCTCAGCTCCAGTCATTTTCTATCGTACCCGTACCGGCGCTGCTGTTTATTTCAAAGCATCATTTGAACATGTGCGTATTCTCAGTTAATCATCTCAATAATTTAGTGCCATTTAAGCATCTTCTCATTAGGCCGCTGCTTTCAAGAGACCGATTACTTTTATTTAAACTTATGTCTCTTCTTGGTCCTAACACGCTCAAATTGCATTTACATTTAATATTCGTATGGAAGTCTAAAGTATGTGCTATTGGATAAAGGAGGCTCAAGTTCTGGTTTATACATTTATTACAACATATCTAAAAATTGAACCAGCATCAATGGTTTGTTATACTCACACAGTTGCAACAATGATCATTTGTCCAACAATTGCCGGTTATGGTAGGCACAGATATTTCATTCCACTGTTTTAGTCATTTTCCTTTCCCAGTTTTATATAAATTTGCTACTGTTTATGGGCATCTCCTTTAAGATACTAGCTCCATGTGAAGGGTGGTTCTGAGATAATAGGTTCTGAGCTTTTACAGTCAAATGTTGAAGCAGAAACATTGAATTGCAATGGTGCATCTTACCTCCAAGGGAGGGTGGAATGTTGGCTCATCTATTTTTACTGCAAAGAAATTTACTTTGAATGGCGCTCACAATCCTGGTGACTATTTGGACATGTCCACGGAGGTTTCTTGGCTACAGATCCTCAGTGCTTTGTCACCAACCTCTCTAGCATGTTGCTTTGATTTCTCAGATTAGCGTTTAATTCTAGAATTTATTGGTTCCTCACCCTAGATTTGACAACCCTAAGAGAAGAAGCTTTTCCCCTGAGATCAGGGTTGGCTAAGTGCTATGCATGTATAAAGAACAAGAAACATCCAATTTGCAAAAGTTTTTAAAGAATGAAAATATGAACACAATTATTAATACATGAGAAAGACCTCAGATAAGGAAGAGATACCATTATTTGCTAAAAGCACATGTACTATTGTGACGAACAAAAGAAAAATATAGACTTCTGAAATTAAAATAATATGGGTTTGTTTCTGTCTGTCTCCAGCACATTGGAGGCTTGTTGGCTGTCATGCAAAACAGAGTTGATGGTGTTTTTCACATGTATTCAGGGGTGGGATTCAATTTTTTTTAACAACCAGTTCTGTGGGCGTGGCTTAGTTGGTGGGCATGGCTTGGTGGTCATGGTATTGGCTGGGTGTGGCCAACTCAATATCACTCACATTGAGGCACGCATCTCCTCGCCTGGCCTCTCATGACTGTGGGGATGCTGCAACAATCGTAAGTGTGAAAAATGGTCATAAGTCACTTTTTTCAGTGCCACTGTAACTTTGAATGGTCACTCCACACAAGCAAAATACCAGCAAAGGAGGGGAAAAAACCTCCAGAGAAGTTCCAGAGACAGTAAGTCTAGTCCTGCCAAGAATGTAATAAGGGTTAACGGAGAGGCAGTTTCTGTAAGCAACACCAGAATGTTTCCTTCCTGCCTTCCTTACAGGATTAGGCCAGTAATTTCTTCTAACAACGGGTTCTCCGAACTGCTTAAAATGTTAACAACCGGTTCTAGCGAATAGGTGCGAACTGGTAGAATCCCACCCCTGCATGTACCTGATACATTGGAGGAATATGTATATCCAATAGAACCCATATCAAATTCCGAGCCTGTATATATGCACAAATGCCTCTTTCGTAAGTTTCAGTGACTTACTTCTGTGGAAACCAAAATTGATTAAATACTGGTGAATCAGAAATTTTTCACTACTGAGAAGTGAGATACGCCCAACATGTATGGTAAAAAACATCAAGATGATGGCCACAATGGTATGCTTGAAATTCCAGCCACTTTTTTTTTGGGGGGGGGGGGGGGGAGGTAACAAGAGTTTTGATTGCACCCATGATTCCAATGCTAAAGTGAATGAAATCATAGTAATCTCTAATTGACAATTGGATAATTGAACTAGCTGGATCCAGAAAATAGATCCAGATATATATTATAGGAATACTGTCCTTGTCCCGAGAAAGGTTTTGCAATGTGGACTTAAATCAGCCGTGGAATTCATTTTACCTTCATTTCGGGTAAAAAAAAAATATGAATTCTGATTATTCCCCTAAAAACAGTCACACATTTTACATCAAGACCTATCAGGACTTTGGAATCAGATTTCTTGTATTTGTTTCCTAAATGCCAACTATAACTATTCTGCATCTAAAGCCCATTGACATTCAGGTTAAAGCATTTGCCTGTGTGTTAGCAAAGAAGAGGTAATATGTGAAAGTGAAAAAACTGAAAATCATTATTGTTCCCATCTATCAAGCTAAGCATTGATCAAAGGTTTAAAAAGAGGTGGTAAAGTACATGCAGAATAAATAAAAGCTTCCTCTAAGCTTAAGAAACAAATAAATCAATGTCCTGTGTTTTGTTTCTTTCATTGATTTTAAACTTTAATGAATAAAAAAAAAACAGGTTAGAAACCAAATTCAATCAAACATTTAATCAAACAGTTGTCCTAGTTTAATGTCAATTACTATACATATTCATTTATTGCAATAAGTAGGGGAACATGATGAAGAATTAGGTTTGTGGCTTAATATCAATAGTCATAAGACCTCCTCAGCATCTAGCAACTCAAATTTCTTCAAATTCACATTTGCCACAGAAAAGATTCTGTGAAAGGATAAACATTTATATTAATTCTGAACTGAAATCTGTTCTTCCGTCAAAAAGGCATCTGTTTTTCTACCACATTCTCTTTTTTCCCCAGTTCCTTCAAACATGAGCCACCATCAACTTCAGATCAGTGCACCCCTTTATTCTTATGACATCAAAAGCTTTGGAAAGTTTAAGCTCAGCTGAGGTCCTGCTCCTTTCAGCTCTGCTCCTGCTCCAGTCAAAAAAGCAATAGCACTTACATATAGCAAAGATTCGAAATACCTGATTGTAAATGTATTAACAGCGGCTAGGATTGTATTTGCTAAAAACTGGAAAAATGAGAAAATACCATCGCAGGAGGAAATCATTAAGAAAATATTGGAATGTGCTGAAATGAATAGATTGACATTTGAAATTAGACAACAAGAGGATAAACCATTTTATAAAATTTGGGACCTTTTCTATCAATGGTTAGATAATAAAATACAATAATGAAATATGTAGATTTTTAGAAAATAATAAATATATAAAGATGTACTTCTTTTTTATTATACCTACAAAATGTTTTTAGGATAGATTTGGGAGGATAATATGAATTGTTATAAAATAAACTAAGTAAATTATGGTTATCTCGTAAAATATGAATGAATAAAACTATAGTCAAATGATTGATTAATAATGATACTAGGGTATTCAATTTTTGATTGATAATATGCGTTATTATGCAATGTAACTGTAACTGAAGACTATGAAATGGATGCACACAAAAAATTGTAAACCAACCGGCACACTGCTTGTATATCTATGGAAGAAAGTCTGATGTTTTTATGTTTTGTTTGTTTATGTTTGTTTTTAAAAACCAATAAAATTTACAAAAAAAAAATAGCAATAGCACTTAGACTTATATACCACTTTATAGTGCTTTACAGCCCTCTCAAAGCGGTTTACAGAGTCAGCATATTGTTCCCAACAATTTGGGTCCTCATATTGTCCTCATATCAAAATGTTTCAAGGGCAGTAGCAAAGAAGAGAATTTCTCTTTTGAAGAGCCTCTGCTTCATTTGATCTCACTTTCCTTGAATTGTTCCACTGCCATCTGAAATCAAAGTCTTCAGATTCCTTGGTTTATATTCATCCTGCTGTGAGTACCTTCAGGAGTACCCAGAAGGTTAGTATATCTCCCCCACCCCCCATGTTGTGGAAAAAGCAAAGAGGGTGGAGGGAAGAAGTTGGAGTGCCAATTTCCCTCCATCAGTCAGATGGTCCTTTCATATGTCTCTCTCCCTTTGTCAATTCCAACTCCAGGATGCATCACGAAGGTAGAGCAGCAGTAAAATAACATGGGAGGAGGATATTACAGTAGAAGAGTCTTCAAGCATTTATCACTGCAAGGTGACATTCCTTGAAGTGCCCCCTGCTTTCTCCAGAGCTGAGAAAGGCTCTGGAGACATCACTTGTTATATTACATTTTCCCTTGGGATTTTACTGAGGGTTAGGAAGTTGCATACTGCTTGGGAGAGCATTGTACAGTACAGAATGGGACTCTCTCGACTGCTTGAAAAATTAAGATTAAGGATTCCAGTTTTTCAACCTTGCCTGAAAAAACACCCCATCATTTATTTATTTTTTTACATGCCCTTTCAATTCACATCAAATTGAATGAGAAGGCTAAAACGCTATATCAAATATGACCCTAACAGATGAACAATGAGCTCAGTTTTCGAGCAACACATCAATATTACACCAACTGCTATGACCGTGATAACAATTCAAATCAGAACCGGTGGTTAAATAACCGCTTTCCTTAATAGATGCTATAAGCTGGGTTTAAAAAACAACAACAAAAACCAGCAAGCTAATGGATTAGACCTTAATGCTCAGCTCTTCCAGAATTTTTCCATCAGTGATACCAGAGACCCAAAGATTAAAATCCTTGGTTTAGCATCTGCATAGTTTGCTCATAAACACAGTTGGCTCGTTAAGATCCAAGCTGTAGCCTCAGGAAGCCCATCATGGCTAAAAAGAAGAGTCCTGTTGGTCCAGGAGATCTGCTGGCCGTGCTACTGGCTGGCATGCATTCAAGGCTGGTGATTGCTGAACTGGCCTGGCTAAATGTTGCTGCCCCTCCAATGGTAGCATCGCAGACATCATGGGTAGTGCAGCCCTTCATGGCAACTTTTGTTGATGATTCTTCTGGTGTTTTAGAAAGACAGAAAATGACAAAATACACGTTAACCACAAGGGGGCAATAAATACACATCAACCCATTTCTTCAAGGCCAAAGAAATACTGTTAGTCTACACCCACTTCTCCCAGATGGCCTTCTTTCTCCCATGGAACCAAATTGCTGCATTTGTAACTTGTGTTTTGAGAGAAAGATTCCTATCCTTGATTTTAAATTAAAGAGAATCAACAGTCAAATCCTGCGCAACCTAATAAGCAGAAAGCAATGTAATAAAGGAGGGCAATAACATCAAACATTTTGCAGACAACAGATCAACCCCCAACATCAACCGTATTGCCTCGGCTAATTCATTTTGCTTCTGTAAACTCAAAATATTTCTCATAAATTATCTGAATGGTGCAGTGGGCCTAAAACATACTTGGAAACTTGCCAGCCATTTGCCTATAGAGAGAGAGAGAAAAAGGGGGACTCTTGTTCATCCCAAAGGTGCTTTTTCAGGAGATAACTGGACTTTCTTGTTTTTTCTTTGAAGACGTTTCGCTTCTCATCCAAGAAACGTGTTCAGCTCTGACAGGATAGTGGGCAATGGAAGGATTTATATTCCTTGCAGACAACAGGTCGTTTTCATCCTTTTTAGAGGGTCACTGAAGCACTTGGAGGTTTATCTGTGTCCTCAGGGTCACCTCCTGGTTCCTGTAGTCTGCAATTTTTCCTCTGGAAATCCATTCCTACTCCCACACCATTCAAAGGGGTCTTCATCCCAAATTGTATAGCTAAAAATCTGTAGAGATTCTCAGTCCTCCAGGTCCTGGTTGTCCCAAAGGTGCTTTTTTTTCAGGAGACAACTGGACTTTCTTGTTGTTTTTTTCTTTGAAGACATTTCGCTTCTCATCCAAACGTCTTCCAGGAAAAAAAAACAAGAGAGTCCAGTTGCCTCCTGAAAAAAAGCACCTTTGGGACACCCAGGATCTGGAGGACTGAGAATCTCTACAGGCTCTTTTGATCCCACAGATTTTGGACCGCTATAATGAGCACGGACATATTTTGCAGTAAATAGCAAGACTGTCCAGAATAGTTGCAGAAAAATAGTTGCAGGAAAAAAATAATTCTTCCACATCTAATATTGATCTGAAGCGCTATGGGAAATAGAAAGGATGATCAGAAGGATGTTTAACAGATTAACAGAGTTGGAAGGGACCATGGAGGTCTTCTAGTCCAACCCCCTGCTCAAGCAGGAAACTCTATACCAGTTTAGACCAATTGTTGTCCAATTTCTTCTTAAAAACCTCCAGTGTTGGAGCACCACAACTCCTGGAGGCAAGCTGTTCCATCGATTAATTATTCTAACTGCCAGGAAATTTCTAACTGTCAAGAAATAGGACTGTGCTGGCTTTTGTGACAGCTACAACATTCTGCTGGCTCATATTTAAGTGATTATCCACTAGGACTCTAAGATCCCTCTCATAGTTACTACTATTGAGCCAGGTACCACCTATTCTATACCTGTTTTTCTTGCCTAAATGTAGAACCTTACATTTTTCACCATTGAAGTTCATTTTGTTAGATAGGGCCCCCTGTTTAAGTCTGTCAAGGTCCTTTATCTTGAGCCTGTCTTCTGGAGTGTTGGCTATCCCTGCCAATTCAATGTTGTCTGCAAATTTGAAGAGTTCCATTGCTATCCCCTCATCTAAACATTGATGAAGATATTGAAGAGTACTGGGCTAAGACAGAGCCTTGTGTACCCCACTGCATCCTTCCCTCCATGTAGATACAGTTCCAGAAGGAGTTCCAGGAGGAGTATACATTAAGTGTGGTTGGTCAGCTAGTTACGAATCCATCTGGTGGTGATGCTGTCTAATCCACATTTTTCTATCTTATCAAGTAGTAGGTTGTAGTCTACTTTATCAAATTTACTGAAGTCCAAGTAAATTATATCCACAGTATTTCATTGCTCCACTAATTTTGCCACATTGTCAAAGAATGCAATAAGATTTGTCTGGCGGGATCTGTTTTTGACAAACCCATTTTAAACGCAGCCTTGGCATGTTAAATGAAAGTTTCATCAACTGCAACAAGTCCAAAGCAAAGTTTCTTTCAAGTTTGACTTCAAGGGAATGCCTTAACGTTGTTTTCCTGGCAGCATCATGGAAGCAGTTTGCCATAGCCTTCTGAGATTGTTTTGATCCCTGTCCCATATATTTTATGACCCTGGGATATTCTGAAGGGTATCTAATCTAGATGTTATCCATGTGTGGTCTTGCTCAGCTTGTGAAGGCAAGCCAAAGTTAGCTGAGTGCTTCCAAGTATCTATTTGAAAATTTGAGAAATTGAGAAGATTCAAAGATACAAAATGCTTGCACTAGAAAGAAATGCCCCAACTGTTTAAAGACCTAAAACCTATTGTTTAAAAATGTACGTTCCATACTGCTGAAAGCTTTCTCGTCTATTTTACTGATAACATTTGACAGGCAGCAACATTCCATTGCTCATGTTATTGGATCCTAACGCAAGAAAAAGCCATGTACCTCCTCCCCCACAACACACACCCTGCACAAGATCTTAATGCATCTGTATCTCTGAATGAGCACAACATTCATTTCTGCCTGCCGTGTTCCTGTGAGTATTTTGCAGGATTCATAGTTCAGATTCCAAATACCAGGTAAATAGCTTAAAGCAATGTTTCTCAACCTTGGCAACTATGGACTTCAGCTCCCATAATTCCCTAGCTAGCATACTGGCCAGGGAATTCTGGGAGCTGAAGTCCATACATATTAAAATGCCATTATTGAGAAACACTGGCTAAAGGCTGCCTTCCAGCTTAAGATTTCAGATGCTTGCACAATGTCATGAGCTGCTGATGTGGTTCTTCACCTCTAACTTTCCTAGATTCGTGTTGAACTTCATGTTCCTTTTGGCAATATACTTAAAAAACATTCAGGGTGTTTCATGCATCTTCTAATTATATCTCCAAACAAGTTTTACTGCTAATCGTTCAAGGAAATTGTCAGTGCCTGAATCAGTCTATGCCATTATTTTCTTGTTGGACCTGTCCTTGGCTTGGCATATAAGAGCCTTCAAGGACTATGTCCTGCCAAATGATTCCTGAGATTAACACTGACAGCCAGAGTTCCCAGTTTCACAACATCCCTGAATCCGATGAGTTTAACAAAAATTGGCTGATATTTATTATCGCATGAATAGTGAAGGCAATGGATTCTGCAACCTCAGAATTCTTACTAGAAATTGATTATCTAGATCAGGGATGTCAAACTCGTGGGGTCACATCATCACATGACATATCTCGACTTTTCCCCCCTTCACTAAAGGGGTGAGCATGGCCAGCATGTGATGCATCTGGCCCGTGGGCTGCGAATTTGACACCCCTGATCTAGATAAACAACAGACTGGGTGGAGAAATGGAGTTTGCTCAGAGACAGCCTCATTGCCCTGAGAGATGTTCTGCATTAAGAGAGAGACAAAGGAACTATAACAAAAATCTCTTGGTGATTTTTAATACTGTTGACCGTAGTGACTAACTGACATAGACAAGACATCAGGAGGAAATTTAGTAAACAATTTGATTATTTGAAAACTTTTTGCATAAAATTGCCATAGGATAAATATTTGGATAAGTTAGACACAACAATTATTTTCTAATCTTTCATGCCTTACATAAGGTTCTCCATGCTGTATACATTTTAATTAAAAGAAACGGATGTTTTCTAAGATGCAGCCTACTATCAAGTCCCATAAGAACCCATATAAAATGCTGAATTAATTACCAAAATGTATGTATCCAGCCAAATTAATGCACTGAGACTCGGATCCAACACAATCAACAGTGTCATCCTTACAAGAATCAGGAAATGAAGCATAGCAGGCTGGGCACCGAAGACCATTGATCTTGGTATCTAGTTCTGGCACTGAATAAATAGAAAAATTGTGGAAACTATACCAAACAGCATAATTAAAAAAGACAATGACATCTCTATGGATTAAATATTTGGTAGGGGGATTTGTTTTGAGCTCAAGATGAATTGTTTCAATTAGTCAGTTGATGGGATATTACAGAAGATTAAACAATTTTGTACCCTGTTCTATCTTTATCAAGATCTCTCCCCCCCCCACTCACAATAGAAGTAAATGTAAACAGCATTTTAAGATTCATGTTCCTCATCAATCATAATTCTTTTGTTCATTCTAGCAATTTTCTTGTCCCTAAGAAGTGGGCCCGGTGAATGAAAGAATGCTTCTTATAAAGGATTTGTTTGACTGCTTATATTGATAACTTTAGGCTATTTCATTTTAGACTGTTCACTGAATTGTTATAAATGTGCACAAGGCGAATTGCCCGTTTATATATTGTTATATATATCTAGTGAGTCATTTTTAATGTCCTTTTTATGCTGTCTCTGTTTTTACTATCTTAAAAAAAGAAATGCATTTTCTGACATTTTTAATGGCATTGGATGGCCTTCCCTCTCTTTTGTTTATTTTGCTGTCAATATTCCTGTTCTCTTGTTCCAACTTTGACAGAAGGACAAGAGCCTCAAAGACGGGTTTCCAATTCAAAACAATGTTGTCAGAACTCTTCCAAAGAGGTTGGAATAGCCATTTCCAGATTAAAACATTTTACATCTCATTCCTCTGATCCATCTGCTAATGTGGAAATGGAAAGACATGGTACCTTGAGAGCAACCAGTTCACTTTTTAGATTAAGTACATATTTAAGATTGTGCAATAATCCTTCCAAAAGTATACAATTAAGTTTAAGTTTATAAGTACACAAGCCAACAACGTGTGTCAGTGTCTGCTGATCACCTGGGCTTAAAATGAATAATATGGAAATGATGTATTTCCCCAATTTCTTTTTAAAATTTATTTAATCAAATTTGAATTGCGGCCATTCCTTGTAGAGTGTGGGCGGTCTAAATCTTCACTGCTGACTTCTTCCTTTTTATCAAGCTATCTGGTTATAGTTATTATTATTTTTAGCCTGCTCTTAGCTTGGCCATTCTGCTTTTAATAAATGCTCCTTGAGTGCAATCATTTGTACAAAAGCACAAGGGAGTAAAGCTCAGAATAGATACCTACATTTGACTGGAAAATCTGTATTGCAGGCATCGTGCTTACAGCAAAAAACACTCGTCCTTGATCTTCCTTTTTTACCCAGATTAATGTGAGCAGAACCACCTTCACAGACACTTGATGGAGCGCAGCTTTTAATAATCCCCTGAACCTGAAGTTCTTCTGCAGGGAGGAAAATAAATTGACTTTTCTAGCAGATAATGAGAATATGCCCACACTAAAAGTAGCAAAGCCTATTCAAAATTACAGTAAATACATGTTTCACCTTGAAAATCACTAACCAGAAAAGATCTTTACTGATGACTGATGTATCACACACCCATAAACTAGTGCAGTGGTCATAATTTGGGAACAGAATCACCACCACCCATTAATCATTGCACCAAGAGTGACACAATTTTACAATATCTGTAGCCTGCTTGCCATTGGCCATACAGGCAGAGATGCAGCACAGTTGGCAAAGCTTGGTCACTGCAGCCATCATCCCAGGTTTGAAACGTGTGTTTTATCGGCAGCCCTTATATTCTTAGCCATTCTTTCTCCTCAGGAATTTTTCTTGGAGAACTAAAGTGGGACTAGAAGATCTCCAAGTTCTTCTCTTCACATGAGCACCCCCAGAAATCTGCTCCTGCCATTAAAAGCAATATTGTGGCATTGTTGCCACAACCTTCCACCCCCTTCTGTAAATGCTTGTGACTAATACACACATAAAAGGGGATTCAAATAATTTAATCTGATTTATGAGTGGGATCTGTTTAAGGCTACCTCTAGTCTCCCAGTGTTAGTTAGCTAGATTAAAGGGCCTCCTATTTGAGTTCCCACACCACATTACTCCACTCCTGTAGGTTTTCTCACCCCTGGACTACATCAACAATATAAACTGTAGGTCAGGGAATTTGATGGACTGTCTTACTCCAGCTACATCTACCTGGCCAGCTACATCTACCAGAGTAGGAAGGCAGGATACATTGTGGATCCCAACTATTAAGAACGTATACCTAGTAGGATCCAGGAAAAGGGGCTCTTGGATTTTGGAATATCATTTCCCTAGAGATCAGATTGGCTCCCATCCTGCTTTTCTGCAGGGCCGGAAGACACGGTTTTGTTAGGAAACTTGGGAATCCCATTTGGAGCCAATCAAGTGGGTGGTGGGATGGGATATGGGCAATGGTGGGATTCAAATTTGTTTACTCCCGGTTCTGTGGCTTGGTGGGCATGGCAGGGGAAGGATACTGTAAAATCTCCAGAGGTGGTATTTGCTGGTTGTCCGAACTACTCAAAATTTCCACTACCGGTTCTCCAGAACTGATCGGAACCTTCTGAATACCACCTCTGGATATGGGGTAGGGGTTTAAATTGTGAATTTTTAACTGTGGATTTTTAATATTGTCTTCTGCCCAGAGTCTCTGTGTGTGTGAGATGGGCGGGTATATAAATTTGTTTAATAGATAAACAAATGTTAAAATACTATTATAAATTATTTCTATTGCTATTCTTCACCTTCCAGCCAAGTTTACTAATAAACAAATTGCATAATGACTCAAGTATGCACAATTGCCCAGAGTCATGTGGCATATAAATTTAATAATCATTCAAACAGATGAAACAAGTAGACAAATAAAGTACTATTAAACTTTTACAAGGGAACATTTACCCTCTTGGATACCCAACTCTCCCCAGGCAAAGCACATAACAAAAAAAATAAGTCTCCACCAAGAAGTCCCATTGTAGTTTCATAGCATCAGAGTGGGGAGGGGTTATGCAGTAAGATTACTGGGTCAGGGCTGCAAAACTGTAGATCAGGGATGTCAGGCTCATGTCGTCACATCGATGTCACATGACCTATCGGAGCTTTTCCCCCCTCCACTAAACTGGACATAGGTGTGGCCAGCGCGTGACACATCTGCCCCGCGGGAGTTTGACAGCCCTGCTGTAGAGGGTCTCCAAATGATGAGAATATGGCTAAAGTTTTATTGCCTGCTGACCAGCTGAACTTTTTCAGTTTGATTTTGGTCCATCACTGAGTCCAACCCCCTTCTTCATGCAGGAAGGTATCCAATGGTAAGTGGTTGTGTGGCTTCTGTTTGAAACCACAACCTTTCTTTTCTTTTTTTTTAATTTTCAATTAAAATGGCTGCAATGGTTCCATTTTCAAACAACTTTTATTGTTTTATTCATAGGATTTATTTTTCTAACATGCAACTGATCATTGTTGTGCCAAATTAGTCAGCCACACACAATTCTTCATGGAAATTCTCTTTTTAAGTTTACTCATCAAGTAAGAGCAGAGCAGAACATAAGAGCAGAGCAGAACATAAAATATATGAATATTCTGAAATCAACATATAATTTTGGTTACAAAGGAAAACCCATGTTCCAATGTTACTTACCCAATACACTTTCAAATGCAGTAATACCACAAAAATCATGTTCTGGAGGACATACTTCAATGTTACCGGAACAGTTGTGACCTTGACCAATGCAAACTTCACATTTCAGAGCAATACCTGGAGAACGCAGAGAGAAAAAAATATGGTATGTGTGTGTGTGTACATATATATATAATTAAATTTACTTAATTCTGAAGTCTGAAATGTCCCTTTAGGGTTCATAACCAGAAATACTATTTTCGATTTCCATTGCCAACTACAATGAGTTATGAATGTATGTATAGAGAACCATTTATATGATGAGTGAAAAAAAGTATAGTGCAATTATTCCATACAGATGAAATAATTATTCTGCAATGCTATTCTGGATTTTTGCCAGAGATCAGGGATAAATGGAAACACATGACTGCCAAGATGTATTACTTGTTCATAAACCTGTTCATAAACCAGCTCAGCCTCATTAGCAAAACATTTCTTTGTTTAGATCAAACAATTATCTGTATGCTTATGCCATTTCACAAACTTGCTGCATTATACATACTTTTTCCAAAAAATAATAGAAACAAATTTGCAAGAAAGTGAAATCCCCAGAACCTTATATAGAGCAGACAAATTTGCACAAATAAATCTGTCATTCAGTGAGATGCCAGAAGATTTCAGAAAATGAAGAACGTACAATTATTTTATTTGTTAATGATGCAGCTACAGAAATGACTATATCAGCTTTTAAATATTAATGTACTCCTTGAAGGCAGCTAGATGATTGAAAACAAGTATGAATTACAAACAGTAAGAAATCATATTTGAAACAATAAAACCTGAAAGGTGTACAGCAGATAAAACAAGGCACTAGATCAAAATTTAGCCATTCAATAAAAAGAATGCCTGACTAAACAGGAAGATTTTTTGAGAGCCAGCAAACACCGTAACAGCAGGATTCTACCCTTATATGTCATATAAATATTGTTGTTTTTTTTTCTATTAAATCTTATTTGATTCTGGAAAACTGCCTGGATAAGTCCCTACATTTTCTTAGCAATGTTTTTCAAAAATGGTTTGCCATTGTGAAAAACTGATTTGTTGGATCTTGACCAGATCTTCTGGTCATTTGCACAATAAAATCCTTATATAAGTGGCCCAAATAATGTGATTTGTTTATTTACATCATCTATGTAATGATGTCATTTCCTAGATTGTTTAAATTACTTCAATTGCATCATTTGCACTGTTACAGTGATGTATTTTCAATTTACAAGGTTTGAAGCAGGGGTATCAAACTCGCAGAATCATGCTGTCATCACATGACGTATCATGACTTTTTGCCTCTTTGCTAAAATGGCGGTGGGCCTGGCCAGCGCGTGAGGCATCAGACCCGCAGGCCATGAGTGTGACACCCCTAGTTTAAAGGAATAAGGAACATACCCCCACCCAATTAATCCATTAATATGAGGTTTCACTGTATTCTAAACCAAGGAACATGAATCTGACTCGGTATTCTCTTGTCCAATTTAAAAAAAATCAGATCTCTATAGAAAAGCAAATAACTTGTACCAATCTTTCCAAGCATCTGTCTATGTGTACCCATAAGATGGACAATAGAAAGGTACCACATCTGATTACCCCCACTAATTTATTCCACTATCACCAAAGAAGGAGCTACTCACCACTGGCTATCAGTGCTGAGAGGAGGCCAAAACTGAGGCAAGGCTTCATTGTTGCTAGGTGAAAACTGGGCTAAGCTTCTAATGTGGCCAGCTTTTTAGCTAGGAAGGATACCTTCAATTACTGCAAATGAAGGAGTGTCCCAAAGCATCCTTAAGGCCATGGTGGAGAGGAAGTCACATAGTAATGACATACCTCCTGACCAACAAAAGCCAGATCACCTACACTGCAAAAGCTGCTTTGGCTTCTGATAGGTTGATGGTGTTGATTTTAACTTGGAGAAGTCTTAGAGGGGAAGGACTCGAACATATGGGGACAGTTTCTTCCTGTCCTCAAGTCTATTTGGACTATGAATTCTACTCCAAAGAGGATACTCTGGGTACAAAGAAGATTTTTAAAAAGGCAATTTGATAGCCACAATTGCATAGTTGCACCCACTATCCCGACTTTTTTCAATATCTTTTGTAACTTCCTGCCAAGTACTTTCAATTTAGGAGCTGGGAGCTTGGAAGCAGGTCTTCTTGGTCACTTCATCACTAGGCTAACACCCACCACCAGCGCCCCAAAAAATCCAATTGGCCTCTATTATCATCTTCCAGAAAGCTGCTCCAACATGCTGTTAATATCTCTGCTTTGCCTGCCATCTGTTTGGCAGGATGATGTTTAACTCCTATTATGTTCTTAATTAGAGTTAGGATGTGTCTTTATGGCTTTACTGTTTTAAGACGTGTGCTTGCAGTCATAGAAAAGTAATCAAAAATAAAAGAGGGGATGTTTTCTCATTTTTCCAGTTTTTGGCAAATACAATCCTAGCCGCTGTTAATACATTTACAGTCAGATATTTCAAGTCTTTACTATATATTTCAGGTAAAATTCCCAATAAAAATATCTCTGGTTTCAAATCTATATTTTTTTTGGTCATTTTTTCCAACCACCTGTAGATTTTAGTCCAGTATTTTTTAGCATCCGCACAAGTCCACCACATATGGTAATATGAGCCAGGTGTCTGATGACATTTCCAACATTTTTCGGATTTATTCTTGAACATTCTTGCTGTTCTTGTCGGAGGAAAATGCCACCTGTAAAACATCTTATACAAATTTTCTTTATATGCTGTTGACATTGTCATTTTATAATTTTGAGACCACAATTTTTGCCATTTCTCTAGATCGATCCCATATCCAAAATTCTTCCCCCAAGCAATCATTGTTTATTTAACTTGTTCTTCTTCTAATTTAATTTCTAATAAATATCCATACAATTTTTTAATCACCTTTTCATCAGTACTTGTCAAAATCTTATCTAAATCAGTCAATGTATCATAGAAACCTTCCATTTTAGAATCTTTATCATACCTTGAATGTATTTGCGCATATGAAAACCAATTCATCTTTATACCTTGTTCCTCTAGTTTTTGTATAGATTTGAGTTCACCCTTTTCATTCAATATTTCACCATATCTGTTTGTTCCTTTTTGTATATTATAGGATAAGAAAATGCTTCAATAGTCGATAGCCAGACTGGAATTTTCAAATAACATTGTCTTTTAGTCTTCTCCCAGTTTAACCACAGAGACTCCCGTATATAATGCCTTCCAAAGTACCCCTGTGTTTTAGTTCCTTTATACCATAAAAAGCATGCCACCCCAAGAACAAAGTCAACAATCTAGTATTTCTTAGTGTTATCCATTCCTTAACCCACATCAGATTTGTAGCTTGATAATACAACTCCCAATTAGGCAAACCAAATCCTCCTCTAATTCTAGCATCTTGCAAAAGTTTTAACTTTATTCTCGCTTTCTTGCCTTGCCATATATATTTCAACACAATTTTATTTAAATCTTCAAAGTAATCTTTTCCAAGCCTAACTGGAATTGTTTGAAACAAATATAAAATTCTGGGTAATATATTCATCTTGATTGTTGAAATTCTCCCTATTAGTGACAGTTGTAAAAAAAAATCATTGAGAAAATATTGGAATGTACTGAAATGAGTAGATTGACATTTGAAATTAGAGAACAAGAGGATAAACAATTTTATAAAATTTGGGATCTATTCTATCAATGGTTAGACAATAAAACATGGTAATGAAATATGTAGATCTTTAGAAAATAATAAATATATAAAGATGTACTTCTTTCTTATTATATCTACAAAATGATTTTAGGATAGATTTGGGATGATAATATGAACTGTTATAAAACAAACTAAGTAAATTATGCTTATCTTGTAAAACATGAATGAATAAAAGTATAGTCAAATGATTGATTAATAATGATACTAAGGTATTTAATTTTTGATTGAAAATACGAGATTATATGCAATGTAATTGTAATTGAAGACTACAAAATGGAAGCACAAAACAATTTGTAAACCAACCGGCACACTGTATGTATACATATGGAAGATGGCTTGATGTTTTTATGTTTTGTTTGTTTATGTTTGTTTTTAAAAACCAATAAATACTTGAAAAAAAAATAAAAGAGGGGAAGGAAGGAAAGATGAATTAGTCACATTTTAACCTGTGCAAAGGGGTGCCCTACCCTTCCCACAGATCCACCCAAGAAGCCTTCCAGGTAGCTAGACTTTACATGACTTAACATGATTTAACAGGGACACTCAGAGCTTGTTCTCATGTTAACTCCATGCCTTGAAAATCTAGTTCCAGATTCACAAGTCTTTCTTCAGCGGAAGCCTATAGAGTTTCATAAAGCAAACTGCAAGGATACCAAAATCTAGTTTGCACCTTGTACTATTTCATGGTTTGTAAGATAAATTACATTGGGCTGGATTACACAACACAAGCCCGCCATGTATCATTGTTTAGAAAACCACACTGCGGGATTCAAAAGAAGTTTAATATATTCTTTGGATTGGCTTAGTACATTGCCTTGATGTATCTTTTTGTCTTAGCACTTAGCAAAATTTTGTAGTTCCAGTAATCATTAAATCAATGTTTGGATTTAGCATAACCATCAATGATAAATGATTGATACTGTAATGGTCCTGAGCTTCAAGATATAAAAGACCTACAAATTTCTTATTCTGCTTTATTAATTGCAGTGTGGTGTCACATTTGAATCCTAACATTATAGCAGTTCTTTACTGTCTTTTATTGAAACAAATCAGATTCATAAACCATACCTTAAATTAAATGTAACCACAATCAAGGCCATAGTTTTTGTCAGGATTTAGACATCAAGCTAAACTATTATTAGCCTGAAATAGAAATGAAAAACATATTTCTTAATATAAAACAGTTTTGTTTTATTATAGCCAAATACTAATGCAATTGTCTGCAAAAGAAATACCTACATGGGAAGACCTGCTGCAAGGATTTCCAGAGTGGGTTAATATCAAAAAAGTAAAAAAAATGGTGATTATGTGATCAAAACATCACTCCCTTTTCCCTTATGTATGAATACAGGTGGTCCTTGCCAATTGGGACCAGCAATTCTGTTGTTAAGTGACAATCATTAAGCAAGACATGTGAACCATGACAGACTTACCTCACTTCCACTAGTCATAAAGTGAATCACCTGCCTTTGTTAAGCAAGACATCACATGACCTAGACTTGCAATTTTACTGCTGGTTTCCCCATTCACTTTGCTTGTTGGAAGCATGCAAATGGTGATCCCAGGACACCGTGAGGGTGCTAAAGCCCCACTGGTTGCAAAGTGCTTGAATCTCAATCACACAGCCATGAGGACACTGCAATTGTCATAAGTGTGAGGATTGGTTGCAAAGTTGTTTTTGAGCACCACTATAACGTGGAATGATTGCTAAACAGAGCAGTCACAAAGTGAGGACAATTTGTATAAGGCAAGGGTCTTCAAACTTGTCAAGTTTAAGACCTGTGGACTTCAACTCCCAGAATTCCTGAGCTAACATGACTGGAGGAGGAATTCTGGGAGTTGAAGTCCACAAGTCTTTAAAGCTGTCAAGTTTGAAGACCCCTGGCTGTAAGAGCTCTATTCTTTGATATTGGCATTGTGGCCATCTTGCTGCAGGCATTTCAGTGCACATGTGAAAATCTGGGTGTAAAGAACAATGAGTCACTCTTACTTCCTTTCAAACTGACAAGCCCATGTAAACAATTTTTCCAAATTTATGTCATCACTGCCACCCACATATCACCTCTTTCCCTCAGTAGGAAACCTTGTCATCACCCAACATTCCAGCTGGGCCTTTGTCCTGAAACCATAACTTGTCTTTCCTCCAATGATGGTGTTTTCTTCACTTCCTTCACCCATGATCAAGAATTCAGGCCTTCCAGGCAAGTGAGCCTCTCCATTAAACACTATCCATGGTCTTTCATCATAGTTGGACCACACCTTCTTCATGTTACTCTGTATGGCTGGAACTTTCCAAATGAAGATTTTGTTTACTTATTTTAATATTTTTTTCTCAAAAGCAATGAGAAAGGCCAGACCAAACAATCTTATAGCACTACTTGATGTGATGCATCAAAGGCCATCTAAATTATTCTGGCATTGGAAATAAATAAATAAAAATCTCACAAGCATCTCTCCTGCAATCTGGCAGTAAATATCCAACTAGAATTACTAATAACAGTAGTTATTAATGAATACTGCTCCACAGGTAGCTGTCTCTGTGATTTTCCAATTGTGAAGCACAACTGACTTAACTTTACTATTGAGGCACGCAGTTGGGTCTGCTTTCTTCACTCTAGAGTTTAGTTTTTAAAATTGGATGTAGTAGAGACTGTGAGAGTTGCATTTCCATCTAAACCTTGTACTTAGGCAATCAGCTTCACAGCAAATGTGAGGACAAATTGCTTGAACAGAATTGCACAGAGATATTTAATAGTTTGCTTGCCTGACATATAACATTTCCTGTTTGCAGCAGTATTAAGGCAATATTTTTAGTGTACGTATAAATCTGTCCTCTTTTTTAAAGTATTGTTTTTTTTCTCTCCCCCTTTTTCCTCTGCTCTTAAGAAACCATAAGCCAATTTCAATATGCATCCAAATAAATAAAAATGAAAAACTTTCCCATTCACTGCAGACTTGCCTAAACCTCAATGTGGC